TGCTTCCATGATTTCCGTTTCTAGGCTTTCTAAATGGTTTCTTCTGAAACTACCAAAAAGGGTATTCTGTAAGTTAGTGTATTTCTAAGATAACAAAATGAATGAAGGGGAGGAAGTGCAAGACACCCATAGCCACATGGGTGGCTGTTAGCATGGTTGGGTGAACACTAAGGTGCAATATGGTATGGCATGGCTGGACTATTCCCTACATGCATGCACATTGCCACAATAAATGCATGGTGTGACAAAGCACTGTATTTTCTTATTTTCCTGGAAATTTTTGCAGAGCTATGCCAGATTTAATGTCTTAATTTCATATACATTAAATAAATATAATGCTGTTGCCAAACCAATAATGTATTGCATGGAATTTCTTTACAAGAGCAGCCAGATTCTTTTGATCAAAATCAAGGCTCACCAGTGGGTATGTTTACAAGAAAATTCCATCATACCATTGAAATTGGGACAGAAAAATTTTTCAGTACAGCAATACAAAAAAAGAAAGGCGTTACAGAAGAAGCTGGGTGTAACAGCTATGCATAACAAATGCGTTATGTAATGCGTAACTGTTACGCCCAGCCCTTCCCATTAACAAATTATTTGCTGGGAGTAGAAAATTGAGGTATGGCCATGCAAGAAACACCAAATGAATGCTTGTTCAATTCCCTTTCAAATTATATGTAGTTCCCTGATCCAAATTGGGCAATATCATGGTCACAAGAACCATTTGAATGAAAACTGTCCACACACAAAAAAGTTGTCAGGCAACTCCTTCCACAAAGCTGTGGTTCTCCATAGTTGTTTTTGGGGACAAATGGGGCTCAATACCAGTAAGTGAACCAGCCAAATTCCTGATATCTTCAAGAGGAAGCAGGCATTCCTGAAATTTAGGAGGTTGGTTGAGAAGTGCAGAAAAATTGAGCAGTGGGATATTGCTCCACTCTTGAATCCAAAAAAGCTTGAATCCCATGTAAGCTTGCTGGGGGGCAGCCTCATGGCTGCTGTAGCCCCATCATACAGTACAGTAATAGCAAAAAAAAATTATTTGAATGACTGTATTGCACAATCTCAGTCTTACTCATTAATAATCACAATGGCAAGCCATCACTTTTGTTATCAATGGTAAATTTTCAATATGTTGCTATTCTCTGGTCATCAAAAAAAGAAGCCGTTCAAAAGCATTCATCAAAATAAGAACAATCAATTCACAGTATGTATGACTCAATGTACTGAAAGGACATGTTTACCCTCTGGAATCTAACAAGTGCAATATTAATTTTCAGAGATTTCCTGAAACAGCAACCAAAGCTGATGGAACAGAAACAACTTCGGCTGTTGATCAAAAATTGTATTACCACAGGATAGGCACTGATCAGAGTGAAGATATTGTTATTCTGGAATACCCAGAAAATCCAAACTATATGATGTAAGCAATATACTGTGTATGCCAAGTATATCTTCTTTCATGTTATGTCTTTTTGGATTTTTTAGGGGAGCAAGTGTTAGTGACTGCGGAAATTACGTTTTTGCTAACGTTAGGAAGGACACAGATTATAACCAGATGTGGTTTACTGAGATGGATGGACCAGTGAGGAAGAAGCTAACATGGAAACCTATCCTAGATAGATTTGAAGCACAAATTGAAGTGAGCTTTTTGCCATATATTTTATATTCATCACATTTTCCCATGTCTGGCCAAATGGGAAACCATGTCCTGGCACAATGTTTGGTCATGTGGCACATGAGCACAGTAATATCTTATTCCTTTTGGAACATCAACTGTTGCAACACTGTGTGGGGAATTGTTCAGGAATATTTGAAGTTCACATGAAGCGCTAGTGTTATTTAGAGTTAAATTTTGTTATTGACATTTGAGTTTTTTGAGATCACAATTTCCAAGCATTGAAAAACTTCTGAATTGCCAGAAAACAATGATCATAAAAAGATAATTTTCAAATTGAATTTTTAACTATTTTCCCAGTCAAAAACTTTGAAAATCTTGGTCTGACAAATTATTTATATTGATCTTATTCTGAAGTCCCCATGAGAATCTTGTAATAAGAGTTTACTTCATAATTTAGAAAATGATGAACTAAACAAAGCAATCAGCAAAAAAATTAGTCAGAGGTTCTTTGACCATTTTTTCTAGTATGTTACAAATGTCAGGAACATTGCTCTATTCCTCACCAATCTGCATGCCCCCAATTTCCAAATCCTGACAATCAACCTGGAAAACCCTGATGAAAGCAACTGGGATGAATTCATCAAGCATCACCCCAGGGATTTGCTACAGTGGGCTTCTCCAGTGGCTGGAACAAAACTTATTGTATGCTATTTGAAAGATGTTACAAGCAGGCTTCAAGTTCATTCCCTGCAAACTGGGATGAAACTGCACACCATTGTTACGGACATTGGATCAGTTGCTGGCTTATTCTCCAGGAAGAAATTTGACTGCTGCTTCTTCCATTTTTCTTCATTTCTGACTCCTGGAATAATTTACCACATTGACTTCTCTCAAGTTGGTGACAGTGCAAAAGTAATAACCCCACAGGTGCATAAGGAAATTGTGGTTCCAGGATTCAAAAAGGAGGACTTTGTCTCAAACCAGGTAATGACAAGACTCATACAATTTTGTGTTACAGCTATGTAAAATATATAAAGTAACTGTGTAAGAAACACCTTAGAGTTCTGTGCAAACACTTGATGGGAACAATTTACCAAGAACAGATTCTTGCTGCTGATCAATTATTAGCAGCAAGCACTTCAGACAATATTTGACCATTTATTTTCAAATACAAGGGAAATATTTAAATATTACTCAGTGAAATTCATTTCAGGGATTAATACTGTCCTTTTTTAATTATTTTAATACTTTATGTTAATAAATTGATTAATGTTGAGTAACCATGTTTGTAAGCCAGAATCATGTAAATCAGTACTGTAATACCATAATAATCACATACAAAGGAAGTCTTTCATACATTTTCTGACAAATCTGTTGAAGTCAACTTGCTATTCTGACAACTATGTGTGCATATTGGGACACCTTGTGACTTTATTTCATTTTGTGATACTTGTGTGGTGAATAAAAAATATAAAATAAGTATAAATCAACAATGCGCACAAGAATTCTTGACAATTCTGCATACTTATTTTAAGATACATTCCACTTGATGAATTAGTGAGAGGTCTTCTTTGGGGTAACATTTGTTTTATTCACAAAAGCAGGCTTCAAACAATTGTGAATAATACAGGGAAGGAGAACATTATCAGCAAAATGTCTATCTGGAAGATGAGTTTCTGAATTAGCTCTGTATATTGTAAATAATTGGACTTATTTGTTTTTCTTTTGCCCTGTACAGGTATTTTATAACAGCTATGATGGAACAAGCATCCCTATGTTTGTAGTTCATCCAAAAGACTTGACATTGGATGGAAAGGCGCCTGTTTGGCTGTATGGCTATGGTGGATTTTCAATCAGTCTGCCAGCAAGGTTTTCTATACTCTGTGTAATGTTTATGAAGCAATTTCATGGAGTCTATGCTCAACCAAATATTCGTGGAGGAGGGTGAGTGGGCAATAGAAGACTGCATAAGTTCTCATCATACTAATTATTAGCTTGTTTGCTGATGAATGAAAGACTTCTGAAGGGATACAATTAATCACAGTATATTTTTTCTTGTTTTTTTACTTACCTGATGAAACCAGAATCAAGAGGTGGTTTCATTTAGAATTGGGTCAAGTGAGTGGCAGTAACAGCTTAGCATGCATAACTTAGTATAGTTCATGTTTTATTTGGAGAAATCATTTTTATTGACAGGGTTTGAGACTTTGACTTGATGGAAGACAGCAGACATATGCAAATGCATGGACTGTGATACACAACAGTACCACACATAAACACACTTTTTTCCCTAATTTGAGAGGAAAACAGAGGTGCATGTCATAAGTGATTTCAAGTTTTTTTTCAAAGCTCACAATTTAGGTGTATATTATATTTGATTCTAATGGGAAATTTTTGATCAAGTTTACCAGAAGTAATTTTTTTAATTTAAACAATTGACAATATGTTGAATTCAGCTTCAATTCAGGTCCATATTCCGTTCAGGTGCTTTTATTTTTCAAACATTTGTTGTCAGGGTTTTAACAATGGGATACACATTTTGATCAGGGTTACAATTTTATCAAAATTGTTGACTGAAACACCCTGGTGCATCTGGCACTCAAGTGAATTGAATACAGTTCTGTATGTTTTGTCTATTTTTAGTTAATTGTTTTCTAGTGAATATGGAAAGCTTTGGCATGACAATGGTCGTGTGCTGAAGAAGCAGAACTCATTCAATGATTTTACTGCAGCTGCTGAGTTTCTTATTAAAAAGAAGTACACATGCTCAGAAAAGGTATGCATCAATGGTGGATCAAATGGTGGTTTACTAGTGGCAGCTTGCTTGAATCAGCGCCCAGACTTGTTTGGTGCTGGTGTGGCCAATGTTGGGTGATTAACATTTTACATATATTTTACTCATGTGAATATACTTTGACATAAAATACCAAAAATGTCCATGATTTGCTCTGGTTATTCAAAATTGGATATCAAATTGTAAAATGGTACAGCTGAAGCTAGCCAAGTAATACATCTGTCGCGGACCAAAGCGACGCAGCTCCAGCATCCGGTGGAAACCGGACCTGGAAACTTGTTGGATTTCTGAGGCCAGTGAGCCTAAAAAAAATCCCATTTTTGCCAGACTCACTGAGCCTCACTCAGGACAAGAAGTGGTTTTCACTTCTTTGATTTTGCCTGAATTGGCCAATCCTGAGCCAGGAAGAAATCACCCGATTTCTTCCTGACCCAGTCCAAGCACCTGGGTATAAAAACCCTCATTCCTCTTTGAGAGGAGAAGTCAAGAAGTCTAAAACTAGTGTTAAAGGGCCTTTAACCTAAATTAAATTACCTCAATCATTATTCTGAGCTAACCAACCAATTTAACCTCTGACTCTGCCATTATATTGAATTAACAGCCAATTGATGAACTTGGCAATGAGAATGAACTCCTCTGAAGAAAATTTTGAGTTCTTATTCAAAACTTGCATTTTGATGGCTGCACAATTCAACTCCTTTGTCTGGGATCCAATGGACCCATGACAACATCCTCAAGTTGAGAACCTGGAAAATCAATTTTTCATGCATCTTGATGAATCCTCTTGAGGCCAATGAATTTTCAACGTGGGATTTATTTCTCTCAAACAGTTATTTTAAGGGAGGGACACAGTCTAAAAGTTCTGGAACCACATAAATGTTATTGAAATTCAATTCCATAACTTGTGAACAAAAGACTAGTGTTGATCAACGTAAGGTTCTGAAAGTCAAACTTGAATGTGTTTCATTCTTGATATTTTAAATGTTTCATGCATAGGATTTTTCAGGTCCCAACCATAACTCAAGTAATTATAACAAGATTTTAACTGCATGTTTTATAGCAGATACTTGCTCAATTCTCTTTAGGTTTTGGTGGTTTTTTTTTGCTAAGAAACTGAATGCCTTGTTCTCAATTTTGCCCCCGCATATACAGAGTGTTGGATATGCTGCGCTTTCATAAATTCACAATTGGACATTTTTGGGTTGCTGATTATGGGAATCCAGAGAAAAGTGAAGAGGAATTCCGGAACCTCTTGAGATGGTCACCACTCCACAATGTGGCATCCAAGCGCCACAAGCTGGGACCAAAGGGGTACCCTGCAACCCTGCTTTTAACTGCAGACCACGATGACCGAGTGGTGCCTTTGCATTCCCTGAAATTGATTGCTGAACTGCAGCATGCATATGGAAGAGATCCCAACCAGGTTGTGTATCATATAGATAATATGAAAATTGTTTGCTTTAAGAATATTTACAGTTAAAGTCTCTATAAGTTGAATTTTAAGGGACCAGCAAAAACATTTTATGTGGGGAGGGTTTGAGTTTATAAGTTTGCATTATGGAACCAAGTATTTGTCTTGCAGGAAACATAGAAGAATTGTACTGAATTATACATGGTGATATTCTGGGGCTTAATTTGCTCATAAAATGAGTTAAAAGTATGCTGACATTTGAGGCAGGGGTTCACTGGCCCAATTTAGTCTGTTGCATCCTCTAAAACCCCTTTAATTCTGTTTTTATTGCTCTTTTCTTCCTGTCTCAAGAAAATACTACCCAGAAGGCCTCAGAAATTTGACCCTCAGAAATTTGACTTAGGGTGGTTTTAGAGGAAAAGCCTTTGAGTTGGGAAAGTTTTTAATGCATTGTATTCAAGGGAATTCAGATTGCAACTTTTAAAAAAAAATGTTGTTTGTGACTCAGAGAGGTTTTGCTTATCAAGGTTAAACTGTAGTTCCGTTCTTCAGACTTTTTACAATTGGACATGCTAGAACAATGAAATTGGCATACAAATTGGAATGAGCCACCAAAAACCCCAGTTACTTTTTTAAACATTCTTTGTTGTACCAATTCACAGAAAAACCCCTTGATGATTCGTGTTGAAACAAAGGCTGGCCATGGAGGCTTGAAACCTACTTCAAAAAGAGTAATTTCTCTTATTTTATTACCGGTACTTTATTTGCATTTCATGATTGCACTTTGCCTTACAGATTGAAGAACTTGTGGACAGCATTTGCTTTGTGATGCAAGCTTTGCAGTTGAAATATTTCCCTGATTAATTTTTTGTGAATTTCTTGGGAAGTGATGGATATTGCTGTGATCTGTGCAGAGATCATCCTTCCTGCTTCATCCTTCATCAGTTCTCCCAAATATTATTTCTGATGTGGAAAATCAATAAAAGTACTTGGTACTTTGATTTACTCTGTATTAATATTTATGTTTCTATAATCAATTTTGCACACTCTGAAAATTTACCCTGATCATTCACCTCATGCACCAGTTTTTGGTAGATTGTTGACCCAGGTTTTTACAATTTGCTGCACAAGAAAAAAAATACTGCTTAGCAGTGGTTTCTTTTTTTTCGGAAATTTCTACTGTTTCAAGATGCCATTGACACTAGTCATTCATTGTAAGTTGTCATGCATTGTACACAGCATGTAGGGAATCGTCCTATGCAAAGGTTTTTTCACAGTGCTGCTGAGAAAAAGTTTGCCTTTTTGAACCTTGATTCTTACAACTTAATGCGTAGCTAAGTTTAGTCTCAAATGATAAATCAATTGTTTCTTTTATCTTTTATTTTTGTTATCAATTTGTGCTTTCCTGCTCTGAAGTGATTAAAATGTCATTGAGTGGATTTGGGTTGGGTGGGAAGGGTGTTAGGTTGTGGGAATCTTGATTGAACCTTGTGAATGCTGAAAAGCGGCAAATGAAGTGTTCTGTTCATTCATTCATTCATTCATAAATCAATTGATTTCCAGTGATTTTCATTTCAAGTTGTCAAACCTCAATGAAAAAATGTCAATGCATGATCTAGAAATTGGGANGGACAAGAAGTGGTTTTCACTTCTTTGATTTTGCCTGAATTGGCCAATCCTGAGCCAGGAAGAAATCACCTGATTTCTTCCTGACCCAGTCCAAGCACCTGGGTATAAAAACCCTCATTCCTCTTTGAGAGGAGAAGTCAAGAAGTCTAAACCTAGTGTTAAAGGGCCTTTAACCTAAATTAAATTACCTCAATCATTATTCTGAGCTAACCAACCAATTTAACCTCTGACTCTGCCATTATATTGAATTAACAGCCAATTGATGAACTTGGCAATGAGAATGAACTCCTCTGAAGAAAATTTTGAGTTCTTATTCAAAACTTGCATTTTGATGGCTGCACAATTCAACTCCTTTGTCTGGGATCCAATGGACCCATGACAACATCCTCAAGTTGAGAACCTGGAAAATCAATTTTTCATGCATCTTGATGAATCCTCTTGAGGCCAATGAATTTTCAACCACCCTAAATAAAGAGAGTTTGTCAATAAAATTCCCTCCCTGTGTCAGATTTTCAAGACCTTGGTGTATTTACAATAACTTTAAGTTAAGGTATTGAACACTTGTTTTCTGATCACAACTAGTTGCAGAGATTCTAACAGTCTAACTTGATTGTGTTTCATTCTTGATATTTTAAATGTTTCATGCATAGGATTTTTCAGGTCCCAACCATAACTCAAGTGATTATAACAAGATTTTAACTGCATGTTTTATAGCAGATGCTTGCTCAATTCTCTTCAGGTTTTGGTGTTTTTTTTGCTAAGAAACTGAATGCCTTGTTCTCAATTTTACCCCCACATATACAGAGTGTTGGATATGCTGCGCTTTCATAAATTCACAATTGGACATTTCTGGGTTGCTGATTATGGGAATCCAGAGAAAAGTGAAGAGGAATTCCGGAACCTCTTGAGATGGTCACCACTCCACAATGTGGCATCCAAGCGCCACAAGCTCGGACCAAAGGGGTACCCTGCAACCCTGCTTTTAACTGCAGACCACGATGACAGAGTGGTGCCTTTGCATTCCCTGAAATTGATTGCTGAACTGCAACATGCATATGGAAGAGATCCCAACCAGGTTGTGTATCATATAGCTAATATGAAAATTGTTTGCTTTCAGAATAGTTAAAGTTGAATTTGAAGGGACCAGCTAAAACATTTGATGTGGGGAGGTTTTGAGTTGTATAAGTTTGTGTTAAACAACCAAGTATTTTCCTTGCAGGAAATATAGAAGAATTGCACTGAATTAAACATGGCAATATTCTGGGGCTTAATTTGCTCATGAAATGAGTTAAAAGTTTACTGAAATTTGAGGCAGGGGTTCACTGGCCATTTTTAGTCTGTTGCATCCATTCAAAATCCCATTAATCCTGTTTTTATTGCTTTATTTCATCCTGCATCAAGAAAATAATAGCCAGAAGGCCTCAGACAATTTGACTTTTGGAGGTTTTAGAGGAAAAGACTTGAGTTGATAAGGTTTTTAATGCATTGTATCCAAGGGAATTCAGATCATGACTTTAAAAAAAAAATTTGTTTGTGACTCAGAGAGGTTTTGCTTATCAATGTTCAACTGTAGTTCCATTCTTCAGAATTTTTACGATTGGACATGCTAGAACAATGAAATTGGCATACAAATTGGAATGAGCCACCAAAAATCCCTGTTACTTTTTTTAACATTCTTTGTTGTGCTAATTCACAGAAAAACCCCTTGATGATTCGTGTTGAAACAAAGGCTGGGCATGGAGGCTTGAAACCAACTTCAAAAAGAGTAATTTCTCTTATTTTGATACTTTATTTGCATTTAATGATTGCACTTTGCCTTACAGATTGAAGAACTTGTGGACAGCATTTGCTTTGTGATGAAAGCTTTGGAGCTGAAATATTTCCCTGATTAATTTTTTTTTGAATTTCTTGGGAAGTGATGGTTGCTGTGATCTGTGCTGAGATCATCCTTCCTGCTTCATCTTTTCATCAGTTCTTCCATAGATTATTTCTGATGTGGAAAAATCAATAAAAGTACTTGATACTTTGATTTACTCTGTATTAATATTTATCTTTCTATATAATCAATTTTGCACACTCTGATAAGGCATCCTGATCATTCACCTCATGCACCAGTTTTTGGTAGATTGTTGACCCGGGTTTTTACAATTTTCTGCACAAGAAAAAAAATACTGCTTAGCAGTGGTTTCTTTTTTTCGGAAATTTCTACTGTTTCAAGATGTCATTGACACTAGTCATTCATTGTAAGTTGTCATGCATTGTAAACAGCATGTAGGGAATCGTCCTATGCAAAGGTTTTTTCACAGTGCTGCTGAGAAGAAGTTTGCCTTTTTGAACCTTGCTTCTTACAACTTAATGCGTAGCTAAGTTTAGTCTCAAATGATAAATGAATTGTTTCTTTTATTTTCTTTTATTTTTGTTATCAATTTGTGCTTTCCTGCTCTGAAGTGAATAAATGTCATTGAGTGGATTTGGGTTGGGTGGGAAGGGTGTTAGGTTGTGGGAATCTTGATTGAACCTTGTGAATGCTGAAAAGCGGCAAATGAAGTGTTCTGTTCATTCATTCATTCATTCATAAATCAATTGATTTCCAGTGATTTTCATTTCAAGTTGTCAAACCTCAATGAAAAAATGTCAATGCATGATCTAGAAATTGGGAAATAATTTCATGACAATTTCTATATTTTCTTTTTTAGTCTTACATGGCTAATTTTTTTAAAGAATACAGTCAACCCCATCACAATGGACCTCCCATGCAACAGACTGCCTCTGAAGGCAGTTACCCTCCTGCCCAATAGACTAAATATGCCTAACAGACTTCTGTTGGTTTAAAATTAATGGTACAAATTTAACCTTTCAGTAATTCAATCATTTAATCTGCATAACAGACTTTTCAAGTCCATTGTGTGGGGGTTGACAGTTGAATTCTTAAAACCCTTAAATTGAACAGCTAAATGAGTGTTGATGTGATTAGGAACCTCACCCAGCATCTGAAAATTAATGAATGAACAGAACACTTAATTTGTTCCTTTTTAGCATTCACAAGGTTCAATCAAGATTTCCACAACCAAACCCCCTTCCCACCCCACCCAAACCCACTCAATGTCATTTAATCACTTCAGAGCAGGAAACAGAGCACACATTGATAACAAAAACAAAAGAAAATACAATCCATGAAATATAACTGGACATCTGACATGTATGCATACATGAATGAATGAATGAACAGAACACTTTATTTGCCACTTTTCAGCATTCACAAGGCACAACCAAGACTCCCTCATCCAAATGTATGCATTGGAAAACAATGCATACATGTCATTCTGAAAATGAAATTGTTGATTAAAAAAGACTGTCAAACTAAATTCCAATATGCGTTTCTCTGTGACGTGGTTCTATAGAAACACTTCCACATTGTAATTGACATTTTTATGTGACCAATATTATAAGGGATGATGTAACTTAGAGTATACTGTACTCTTATGCATCCACGTGTCCAGGACAATGTCATCTTTCCCGCACCATCCTTAAACTTGGGTTTCCCGCTGGATGACATGGACTAACATTGCAGCACAACACAGGAAAACAATGCACCTTGTCAGCTCATCTATTTCTCCAAGTTGTTCCAGATTTCCAAGAATTTACATTGAAACTGCACTGCGTTTTTTTTATCTGTATTTCTATATGCTGTGATTACGTCACTTGAACTGCTGGGGAACCAGATCTGGAAGGAAATGTTGAACCTGGATAACTGGAACCTCCCTCGTCAGTCAAGTTTATTTCAAGTCCCCTTCCTGAATTCCCTTGGAAGCAATAATGCACTGAAAATCTCCCAGACGCTTTTCCTTTAAAATCTCTTTGACTAGAATTTCCTGAGGACTTCTGGTTATTATTATCTTGACACTGGAAAAATAAAAGCAATAAAAAATTAACTTGATGTGTTCTGAAAAAAGGGAAAGACTGATTGTGGGCAACTGAACCATTGCTTCCAAGATCAGCATCCAGTCAACTCAATTGAGAAGCAATGTAAGGCCCAGAATATAGCCTTTTACAATTCAAGAGTAAACTAAGATCTGGTAAAGAATCTGACACTATTTTCCAACAATATTATGTATGACTTGAAAAAAAACAGGTGCCAGGAATAAGAGATAAGAATGTCAAATCATTCTTGAATTAGCCCATCATATTCATGCAGGTAGTGCAATAGATAAAATCTGTGACATCAGTACAAAACACTTCTTAAAAGCATACAAGAACTGCTAAATGAAATTAAATGTTGCTTGGTCGATTTCCAAGCTTTATTTTCCATTATAGTCAGCATTCACAAAGTTCAAAGAACTTTTCTTGCATCCATATTCAACACATCCTCTGGCACATCATAATGTAAAAAAATTCACAGACAGGTTGTTAAAAGAAGTTACATCACAGGACATAAAAAGGCATGCATAATGTTTTGTAATCATTTTTCAATGACAAAAATCACAGTAAAAGGCAATTGATGATGAGCTCAAATTGAAGCACAAAGGGTTCAGCCTGTTCCCATCAGATGATTGAAAATTGATTTATCAATTGAAAGAGAAAATTCGAGGATGTCATATGAAGCTAACCGTTTCTTGCATTAAGCATAATTTTAAAAAAGTTTTTCCTCCAAGTTAACTGACCAGCAAGCAATGCTAACTGGAGTACTGCAGTTTATTCAAATATAAGTCATGGTACATTCACATTTTTTTTAAATAAATTCATTATTCCAGTCTTTGGGGCCTGGGAAGAAGCTCAGGGTTAAAAATAGGTGTTCAAAAGAAATTAAGAGAAAATTGTGGCTAATGAAGAGGGGAGTAAAAAAAAAACTCTAGCCCCTGCAGTTTGTTGTAAAAGGATTTTACTGCAAAGAAAAATTATCTGGCCTGATGAGTTTGACTTTAGTCCTTATACACTTGTATTTATATTTTTTGTATTTGTCTGGCACTGGTATACTAACTTGGCCCTCACGCTCAAATGCGTGGCTTTCAATCCTTTCATGCAGTGGGGTAGCAAATAGTTGAGTGTTGGTTCTCGGTTTCAATTTTTTGCATACCCTCTTCAGAAGTTCTTAATTATCCAAAAAATATACGCATTAAAAATTGTTTTACAACTGGCTTTTACAAAATTTTTACAAACTCTTTTTCTAACAGCCCCAAAATGTCGTAATCTATCTATTTTTGGCAAGATATGTGGTTGTTTGTGCTAACAAGTCCAAAACCTGGAAAAAACTTTTTCAGATATAAAATTAGAATATTTTTAAAAACTCATATTGAATTACGAGATGCATTCAAAACCTGCGAAATGTTGACTGCAAATTTTTTTCCCTTGAATCCAATTGTTTTTTCTCTGTTTTTCTTATTATTTAAATTTTGAAGCAAATTTGCGATTTTCTGATGCATATGCTGATTTCTTCCCTCAAAAATTTAAAAAAATAAATGACTTTAATTCACTGAAATGAGTGAAATCAAAGAAATGAACTATTAAAATTGAATGTACAGTATTACTGTGAATTTCTTCCAAACATACTATTTAAAAACAATATTTAAAAAATGTGTGAATACGTTTTCCAGGCAGATTAGGAGAGAAGTTCGAAATCATGTGCAATTTGAAAATATTGACAAGCTTTGAACTTTGCTTCCTGTTTATCATTATTTCATGGAAATTACTTGAAACTTTTCAGAGTGAATATCTTCCAAAAGTTAAAGGCTTCAATTTCTTCCAAGATCTCAAAAAATTAGAAACATTTGAAGATTTGTCAAATGGCTTTTATTTAAAGTGTGATGAGGCAGATGAACTCCTGCCAGAGAATTTTCCAACTTTTTTCCAAAATAATTCAAACACAAAGTGAACTTTTTTCGTGACGGCCCCTTTTTGATTTCAATCGACCGAACCAGAAACAATGCGCTTTTAAGAAAAGTGATTCAATGCCAGTTTCACTTTTGGATCCGTTTTCAACGAGGGACAGAAACTGTTTTTCAAATAACAAGGGATTTCTGACGGAAACCCCAAGAAAAGGAAAAAAGACCGTATTGTTCCATTTTTCAATGGATATTGCCTCAAAAAATGCCTCTTTCCATTGTTTCCCGTCGGATTTCTCCAAACGTATTGTGCAGGGATTGTTTGTTTGTATCGTTTTCCAATCCACTTTTTTCCCCCAACGGAAATTTTTTTAAACATCCACTAAAGTCAGTTGAGAGTTGTATAAAAGACGCTGTCGACAATGTCGAGAACGTCAGTGTCGAACTCAAGCTTTCAACGAGTTCTTCTCTTCTTTTTTTTACTGCGTGCAAGTGATATGCCAACTTGGATTTACTTGTGTGACAACGAAAGAAACTGAAAAATTATCGTGAGGTTTAAAAATATAATTTATATAGTCGGGGGAAATTCCGGTTCTTGCAATTTCAGACAGATTATTTGAGTACTGAAAATTTGGCAGCGAGAGAAGACATTTGTGTTCACACGAAACGTCGAAAATGAAGGTGAAGTATTTGTTTCATTCATTATAGTGCAGAAAAAATTTTTTTTAATGTTTTTCATCAGGGGGATGACTGAAAAAAAATTTTCATATATATGATATTTGATACTTTTTCATAAATATCTCGGAGAATAATGTGATGATGATGGCTCACCAATAAATTCAGTACTATTTTTGGGATTTGTGAATCATAATTTTAAAAAATATGTACCTGTATACTCTTCGAAAACTCAACTTTTTAAATAATATTCCGCAAATAATATTAGAAAATAATTGCTGTTTTACTTATTTTTTGCGGTATTGAAATCAAATAATTTTGTGCTTCAATTTAAAATACTAGACATCATCGAATCCGTCCTCAAATTTAAAATAATTGAGTAAAAACAAAGCAGGAAAATTTTGTTTCCCAAGAGTTCGTCCTAAATACAATCAGAAAGTATTATTATGAAAATCTCTCTTGTTCCATCATATTCTCTCCCATTTGTAAAATTAATATGTAGAAATTTTTCTGACTTTTTCGAGAATCAAGAAAAAAAATCTCCAAAAATCATGTCGTTTTTTGGGGGGGGGAGGGAGGCGAATTACAGAAAATTTTAATTTGTAATATTCTGTAATATTGAATGCTGAACTTGGATGGACATGAGTTCATTTTCCCAATTAATTTATTGTCACTTCCTTCATTCAAAAAAACATCAAGTTACACTTTTATTCACTTTTTTCTTTCCTGTGTGTCAAAAATAATAGCCAAAAATATCTTTAAAATTCGAATTATGGAGGTTTGAAGAGGGAAGCGTTCGAGTTCAGGGGATTCTTCAAACATTATTCCCAAGGAAACTCAGACTAGGACTTGAAGAAAAATATTTATCAACATACAGTAGGGAGGAATTCAACTTCGGGAGGTTGGACTTATATATGTTCAGGTTTAACTGAAGTTCATTTAAGTTTCACAAAAGACTAAGTGTATCAGGGCGAGGAAAAATAACGAAATTGATTTTTGACGCAATTATGCAATAACATTTCTTCCTATTTTTTATTTACTTTTCGGTGCGACTTTCGTCTGCTGGGGGGCCTGGCGCAGTTGTTGTACGCGTTGCTCAGCACAGCAGCGTTGGTGGCGGCTGCGAACGGCGCCGCTCAGCGCCAACCGCACGAAGCCTATTCGGCGGACCAGCTGCGCCAACAGGCTGAGCTCCAGCAGCGCCAGCAGCAGCACCAGGACGTGTTCTCGGCTGCGGACCGACAGCAGCGACAGCTAGGTGACCGGTCGCCGCAGGGCTTTCTGGGCAGCGGCGCGTTTCCCGGGGCAGGTGTCGCTGCTGGCGCGGGCGGCATCCCGTTGAGCTCCGCCATCGACGCCGCTAGTTCTCGTCAACAGCAACAACCAGCACAGCAGAGCGATCGTCGACAGGCTCTTTACTATGATCCGTATTCCGTGAGTGCTGATCGAAACCCCTCTTTTCGGCGTCGAATATTATACACGTAATTTCTTTCGTTCATAAGAATCTAACTAATTGATATCCGCACGAATATACAGCAGTCAAACTTCTTCAAGTTGACGAATATTCGTCGAAAATTAAATTTTTGAAATTTATATCTGTATGTTCGGAACGATCCGCGAAAAATTCTGATGCTAAGACTGCCTCTTTTATTAAAAAAAAAACAGGAGATAACCAACAGCACCGCAATTTATTTTCTCCACTGCAAAAAATTTTAAAAATTCAAGAAAATTTTATACAACTCCGTGCTTCAAATGAAAGTCGAATTGTTTATTTCAGTTGTTTGGCCTGTGGGCATGAAAATCTCAAAACAAGGACTCACATTTATTTTATGGTTCAAATATGGAAGTACAGTAAATTGTCTGGCCTATAAGAGTGAACGAATTCCTATAATTTGTACAGTGTTTCCTATGCCTCTTTAAAAAGAAAGTTTTTTACTGCTTTTGTATCGTTCAACCACTTCTTCAATTGAAGTTCACTCTGTCTCAGATGACTTGTTCTCATGTGCATTACATAGATGTCGCCATCATTGGCTTAAATTTAAGGATTCAAATCATAATTGCAGTTGAATATTTTTATACAGTATTCATTTCAAAGCCTTATTGATCATGAACAAAATAATGCAATTTTTTGGGAAAAGGGTAGAAAAAACTCCTTCAAAAAACTTCCAACATAGACAGGTGAACATTTTTCCAAATTTCCAAAATCATTTGAAAAAATAGTGTTGAAAATTTGTAATTAGAATCACAATTATCCTCTTTCAGACATTCTATTTATTTGGATTATTTTACCAAATGTACCAATTTTTACTGAAGTGTGAGCTGAATTAAACAGAAAATAATTGTACGAAGAGCAGTTATTCATCTAAAACTGTACACAGTATTTTCTGAAATTGGGGAACATTTTGTTTCTTTTAAAAGTTGCGAGGAATCTGAAATTCTGTTTCAGAATTCTTTGAAAAATATATTTTCATCTAAAAAAACTGTTTATTTCTGAATTTTAAATTAAATCTCAATACATATTTTGATTCTCCGTAATAATTCCTGCAATGCTAAACTTCCTTTACAAAAATATAAGCATTTATACCTTCAAAGGTTTTTTCCCCTTTCAATTAGACACAAGTTGGTTTTTCCCATATTGTGCTAATTAGCCATGATTTTTGTGACCCATGCACACATAATTGATGCAAAACTCTGCTATGCTGAAATTATGAAAGAAAATTAGTTTGTCACAACAAAGCTTTTGTAACATCGTCCCTACACATGAAGAAACTCTCAGGATACAGAAAAAAATTCGTTATACATGAACAATTGGCTGTAAAGAAATTCTTTGTGAAGGAATTTTCCTGTATTCATGATTTTCACCAAAAATAATATGTCACAAATATTACATCCAGCGTTTCACACGTGCTTTAAAATTTCAAAACCTGGATCAGGTTTGTAATGTGGTCTGATATGGTGAATATAAAAAATTATCATGCGTGATAGGAGTAACAGGCAGAAAAAGAAAATTTCTGACCCAATTTGCACATTACGTAACTGGATGCATAAAAATGCAAATAATTGTCTTCAAATTGTGTGCAATAAGGTATACAGTAGTTGCATGCATTAAAATAATTGAGTTCCTCACAAGCTTTGATTATTAAGTGAGCAGTGCCATCATGTGTTATTTCCCCAATACTCCAAATGCATGGGATCACCATTGAGTATATAATTTAAGTTGAAGGAAAAAGAAATCAGAATTCTGAGAGGAGAAGCCTTTTGCACTCAGGGGAATCCCCCACCACCGCCGCCGCTGTCGGGGCCAGCAGACGGCGGATATCCGGTCTACGACTTTGGGTACTCTGTCTCCGATCCCAACGCCCAACTCCACCAGACGGCGGTTCTTTGGGCGCTGCCTCTGTCCCAGTGCCCGAGAATGAGTATGCACCTGGGCTTGCCCAGTGAGTACGCGCAGTGGATACTCCGCCTGCGCGACTTACCGATGGCCCGAGCGCATCTCTGTCTGCCAGGTGTCGCTGCTATCCGCCCGGAAAACGACTACACGGCAGGCACCGCGCAGGTCATCCGCGGCGGGCGCTGCCGCTGCTGCCGCCGCCGCCGCGCAGCCGCCTCTGGCGTCGCCGGTAGTACCGAGATTCCCGTTGCGTGGCTTGAGGCGACTTAATCGACACGATGCTCGCAGAGACGACGCTCAGCTTAGTAGCGACAGGCGCAATTATCACGTAATTTGCAGCCGCCTCTGGCGTCGCCGGTAGTACCGAGATTCCCGTTGCGTGGCTTGAGGCGACTTAATCGACACGATGCTCGCAGAGACGACGCTCAGCTTAGTAGCGACAGGCGCAATTATCACGTAATTCACTGCGCTTAATCATTTTTTTCATCAATCCACACACATTCAATACAGGTGAAATCTTGTAAAAAAAAAAATGAAAAATGCAAATTCCATTTAAAAATGCATTAAAAATGTTAAAAAATCTGTTGAAATTAGGTTTATTACAATTGCATAAATCCCGATTTTTTTCTGAAATCGGACAAATTTCATTTTCTGTTTGAAGTGCATGCTGTTCATTATTGAGAAAACTCAGTTAATTCATCAGAAGAACTGAAATTTCGGCGCGGAAATATTTTCAGCCAGTTCTGTTATTGATGTAATCTGTCCTTTAATTTGTTGGTAACATTTTTTAGCACTTCTGTGAGCATACAGTAAATTTGTATGTTCAATTGCTATGTTCAAAGAAAGGAAGAAAAATTGTAAATTTGGATAATTGGAAGGAAAAGAATTTATGAAAACCAATATACAGTACATTAATTTCTTGCACTGAATCTTTGAAATATACTGTAAAACAATTTTAGCATTAAATCTATTGTGTTNGTACATGAGATAAGATATTGTATGACTCGATTGAACTGGACGCAAGCAGCAGCATGGACACTTGGACTGATTCTGAATGCCATCAAGAAAAGGAACTTGACCATGTGCATGAAGCATCAGGAAGGACTGTAAAGGAGACAGCAATGGCGGTGGTGGGGCTGGACAAATTGGGCTTTTGTGGACAATAAGACAATCAGACAGACTTTTGAATTACAAACAGAAAATTTAGGGGCAGTACAGTAAAATATAGCTACAATTAAACCAGCATTGGGACCTGAAGAACCATAAAGTTATACAGTAATCAAAATCTGCTTCATATTAAATCTCAAATAAAATTATTTGGCAAAACTTTAGTGACCTAAAACAAACAATTGATCTGCATTAAAAAAATGTGTTGCAAAAATATACTACTGTATTCCAGAGCTAGAATAAGAGAGTTCATCAGATGGTTGCTCCTTGGCTATTGTCTTTCATCATGCCAATGTCATTGAGTGAGAGAAAAATTATAAAATCATGTAGTTGAAGATATGTCTTCAATTAGTAATTGTATTTCAATTTCAAAATTTTGTTCACTGTAGCCATTGATGGGACCAAAAAATCTTTGTTTTAAAAAAATACCATTTTGGATACTAGGAATGGATCATCTGAACATTCAATTTATTTTAGTATTAATTTCCCATGGCAAGATTTCTTACAAAAAGAATGTCTGAAGCATAACAAATCTCAGATTGCTGTGTGAACTGATGGAAATAGCAAGTTCAGTTTTTTCAAGTATAATTGCTCTTAAACAGTCAACATTCTTGCCATTAAACCTAAATATTCACGAGCTGACTGCCTTGAAATTCAATTAAGCTTGTGCATTCAAGGTTGAAACAATTCTTGAAAGAAAAATAATAATAAGTATTATCAGCATATTCAATTTTAACATTGGACAATGAGCGTTATTTCGGAAGATTGTCCAATACTTCAAAACTTTTCATTCTTTTTTCGAATTGAATTTGACGAAGTGTTTATCATCCTGACATTTGAATGAATCTATAGGTGACATTTGGGCTCGCAGGTGCCCAAAGCAGCGACACCCAGCGGAAAATCTCCGTACTTGTACAACTCGTGACTCATGCGCATGTGCCTTTCTCCCATTTCGAGATTGCGGCTCAAAAATGCTTATAACTTTCAAACAGATTTGAAAGGGTCCTTGTCTTCTCTAAATAATCCTCCAATCTAGTCAGAAATCTCTTCAGTCCTCATGATGATGAGTTTTATGGAGTCACTCAGAATTTGCATGGAAGACAAATATCATTAATGAAACTGAATCATAGTTCCAAACATATCAAATTATGCAGATGGACTCTCTCTACAATAAAGATCTTGTCTGCAAAAAATTTATCTGTACAACAATTTATCTTTGTTACATGCAGGGTTCTCTGCACCCATATGTTATAGACTATAGAGGGTTCTTTACCAAAAAAATTACTCTCCACAATAAGTGTTTTTTTCTTGGCCCCTTGAGTTTTGTTTTGGAGAGAGTCCACCTCCATAAAAAAAAGTTAAGCACAATTTTATAATCAGAACAAGCTACTTCAACATCTTATTTGCATGTTCACAATGTTCAATAGACTTTAATGTTCATTTATGAGTTGTATATTCAACTAATGAAAACCACACTGGAAAAGCTTCCCATCCAGACATTTTTTTCACATGAAGTATTATAACTGCAACACAAAATGAAATGTTAATTTCACAATGCTGTAACCAAATTCAGCAGTTGCACAGCAGTGGAAACAAAAAAGAAAAATCTGTTTGAAACTTAATTTGTCTACAGCTTCTAAAAGCTGGATATCATAAGTTCAACTGATTCTTCTCAAAGCATAGAAAATTCATGGAGCATCCTCATTTATTGACTTGATGTTTGAACAACCTCTAAAAATGTTCAGTCAGCCATTGATCTGTCCAATAATTTTTCTGCCCAGTTTTTCCATTGAAACTGCAATTATATTGTGCCCTACATCAAGTGTCATAGCCAAATTTGAAATTTTTGCCTTGGAACAAAAATTTGTTTACCAACATTTGAATTATTGAAAAAATGATTTTTCTTTGAGGACAAAAGTTTGTTAACTGAGGATCTACTGTATACTGTATAACAAAAATTATTCATTAAAGATGATCCAAATTTCAAAAATATTCTTACATTCTGTGGGCTACTCTCTATTTTAGAAATGTGAGTACAGTACTGTACTGCATATAGAACCTCAGGTTACAGATCAATGGCTGCTGGATGTTCAATAAATGTGTTAGTTTATCCAGAAAAACATGCCACATATAACCCCCCCCCCCCTATCAAGCAAATACCTGTACAGTATACGACTTGGGCCCTTCCAAAATGGCGCTTGAATGCATTCTCGCCTCTCTTGTCTCTCTCTCTCCTGCTGCTCTGTCGCCATTTTCCAAACAGGACTCGGCCGCTTACTTAAGATACCAGGTGTACAATAACCCCTACGCATACCGGCAGGTGGCCTACAACGGCGGCGTCGGGGGTCTGGGCTACTCCTCGGCGCTCCTCGGACGCAACGCGGGTCTCTACGGCGGCGGTCTCGGAGGTCTCGGCGGCGGTCTCTACGGAGGACTCGGCGGAGGCTATGGACTAGGCGGAGGCTATGGACTCGGCGGAGGCTACGGACTCGGCGGAGGCTACGGACTCGGCGGAGGATATGGACTCGGCGGAGGCTACGGACTCGGTCTCGGCGGAGGCTACGGACTCGGGGGCTCAGCTCTGGGACTCGGCGGCCTTGGAGGACTCGGTGGGCTAGGTGGCGCTGGCTACGGACTCAGCGGACTCGGAGGCTACGGTGCCGGGTTGAGTAATCCACTCTACGCAGCATATGGCAACACTTTGTACTCTAGTCCCTTGTATGGCGGGCTCGCGGGACTCGGCGGAGTGGGATACTCCGGCAGAGCGCTGTACAACGGGCTCTACAAACGGCGTTCTCAAAGAGACAAGCAGAATAAGCGGGAGGGTGAGAGGAGCGCGCGCGGGTCTGCGGGTCTCGGGGATGAGTATGACGACTTTTCCGGTGGGCTGGAAGCTGGGTTTCAGGGCTCTGGGTTTCCCGGGTTCGGTCCCAGTGGGCCGTATCAGCAGCAGCAGCAGTTTAGTCGCGCGGGTCTGCGGGTCTCGGGGATGAGTATGACGACTTTTCCGGTGGGCTGGAAGCTGGGTTTCAGGGCTCTGGGTTTCCCGGGTTCGGTCCCAGTGGGCCGTATCAGCAGCAGCAGCAGTTTAGCCCCGGATCTGCACCCAGGATTGAGACCAATGCCCATCAAGTTAGGTACTAGTGAGGTATAGTGGGGTTGAAATGCGCGCTGGATTTATTTGGATTGGCCACCTGGGAGTTGCCTTTACTTTTTTGTGTGTCCTTTTTCCATCAATTTTGCTGAGAACATGAGCTGGAATTCATCAAGATGAGCAATGTTTCTGTTCTGCATAGGTAACACTTTGAAAGGCATACTATCTTGGTCATCATACATGAAAATGTCACTGCAGTCATTTAAAGGCACTTCCAGTTCTCATTCTGGAAGCATTTCCCCTATTTTCTGAACTCCATATTAGGCAGTGAACTTACTGTAAGTGAATACAAATTAGTATATACTTTCTGAATCTTCAATCTAAAATGCAGGATAGTCATGCAATTATGAGATCTTATGGACCTTTTATATGCTCCAAAAAATGCAAGGTTCATCAAAATGAGGGAGTGTACAATTTCAACAAGGGCAGCATTTGAAGAGATTTTATTCATGTTCATCTGAATTCACAACTTTTCAAGCGCAGATTTGACATATTTTTTTCACTTTGTCTGAAGCCTTATCCCAATTTGTCAACCCTCTATCTTTCATCTGCAGAAAAAATGACTTCAACTGCTGTGAATTTTGATTGTTTCATTTCCTGAATTTTCCCAAAGATGAGGGACAAAGCTAAAGCAAAGTTCTTGCAAGTGAAGATTCAAATTGATGCTGGCTGTTTAACTTCAGAGGTCCATTTTTGGGATTGATGTCATTTCAAATTGTATGATGACATGAAAAAAAAATTCAGGAAAGTGTCAAGAAATGTTTTGATTCAACCAATATGTCAGACATTTTTCTACTGAGACTTATGCTAGGATGCAAGCCTATATGCAGAATGGAAGCATGCTTTGCAAAATCTAAACTGCCACCTGTCAGTGATTTAAAAAAATGCTCCAGGGAAATGATCCATGGTCAATTGACACCAAGTTTTGAAATAGAACTTGGTTTTTGAAAGGACATGAAACTGTGGCTGGCAATTGAAACAGCTCACCATAGTTTTGAGCAAAACTGAAAATAAAACCATTTGAAATTGCTCTATTAAAACTCTGAGACTTCATATCATGAAGCCCATGGGTGAAAATGAAATGAGCACCTCTTTTATAAGCTTAAAACTCACTTGATGAGATAAGGAGTTAGGACCATCATGCCCATGTTTTCAACAAAATTATGTCAATTGAGCAAATTTGAGTATTTTGGTGAACTCACCAGCAGTGGCATGATTCCCAAACCCGCGCATTTTACTTTGCTGCCTTATTTGGAATCAGACTTTTTTGGACAGACACTGCAGAAATGTTCATATGTTTTTGTTTTATTTTTTCGCTTCTACCCTGTAATTCTTTGTGGGTTACGAGCTGGTCGAGATTTCCGCATTGGACTGTGATTCGAATTCGAAATAAAAAGGGGAGACAAAGATTTGAGAGTTTTAGGACAACTTCACTAACTTTTTTACGGACGAAGACTTCAGTGTGTTCGTCTACTAAATACGATGGTGGACTTAGCTTTCTGCTCAACTAACAGACTGGTCAGGGATTTCGGTGCGAAAAAAAAGGCGTTGAATTTCGTTACCTGGACCAGCGGGAAATTTAAAGGAGATTCCCAAAACGTGTGGCGGAATTTTTCTTTTTTTTTTGTATTATATAGGAGATGCTGTTGGAGGCTTTTGATTTATCTTGTTTAAGCTGATTTATAGGGACGAGGGAATCTGGAAAAAATTTTTATCTTTGGGTACACACTGTTCTATTTATGTTCGCGGGTTCCTTGCAAAAAATTTTTTTTACTATTTTGTTCTGTGAATCTTTTGTGAAATAAACTCTCAGACGAAAATAATTCTTGTCTGATAATGTTGCAAAGAAATCTTGGTATTACATTCAATTTTATTTAAGATGCGATTAAAACATTGATATTTTGCGCTTGGCAACGTGAAGCTTCGGTTTTGGGCAAATTTACGCCTTTTTCTTGCTGAAATTGTATTGATGAAATTTCATAGAAAATCTCGCACACACAACATACCACGCAAACATTAAAGAGATCAAAAATTCACAAATTGAATAATTTTTTCTACATATATACTAAAAGATGAATATATTTATATATATATACAGTATATATTTATGTTTATTTATGCAGTGCAGGGGTTACCTTGGTGGTTGCAATTCATGTGATTCATTTTATTTCTGGCTTACCCCTTCCAAAACTTTGAAAATTCGAATTTATTTTTGACAAAGTATCATACTGCAGTGTCTATAGAAAGAGTAAATCAACTCTTTTTTTTAATTTCATGAGTTAATCAGACCACTGAATTTCAGCCTATTTCTGCTGCAGAGCCATTTCATCAATCAATTATAATTGCAGAGCTGCACTTTCCACCAATCTTACCAGAAAAGACTCATTTGAATAAAACGGATTGAAAATTTGTTGATTTCATGTTGATTTTGTGTCTAGATTTTATAAATTTTGGGGCTCTAATTCTTGAAATTTTGCAGTTTTTAGAGTTACTAAAAATTGGGGTGCATGTCTTTCTCAAGGATCAAATTTCATCACACTTTCAGACTGAAAAACACTGGAGCAAGTTATAATCGAGGATGTGTGGTAATAAAGGAAATGCAGTAACAAACTTTTTCTGAAGCTAGCAGAAAGCCCTTAGAAATACACACGTCAACACATTCTCAGTATGCTAAACTTATCAATTCCAGCATAACAAAGTCATTGAATTCGCCTGGGTGAAGCCTGTGAGTATGTCAAGAAGAGGATGTACACACAAATTTTCCGATCCCAATCAGCTCTATTTCAACATTAAAAGAAAAACTTTAAAATACGGATGCAAATTATGCCTAATGAATTCTGAATAAGAACCGTTTTTTTTCCAGAACCTCTTTTACATATGGTCAATGACAAAAATGATTGCGAAAGACAGAACATCCTTTTCATCTCGTCACGATCAATTATATCCATTGCATAATCATGCAGTTCTTCGCGCTTTTCAGTAATTTATTTGAAGAAGCTCAATCTTCTTTCACGGACACTTTTTCCAAAATTTGTTCTCCTTTTATGGCAGGTTGAGAAACGAGAAGGTTTAGATACTTCAGACTTCACGGGCAGTTTCGGATTTTATGTGCTTGCCTCTTTGATCGACGGAATGTTTTTTTTTTTTTTTTAAAAGAATATCAAAAAACGGCAGGGCATGTTAAATTTGAAATTACTATACAATGCTACGATATGAGTGACCAATATTGTAGTTTTTTTTGCAATCAGCCAAACGTAACGTGAAGGTGATGGGATTATCAATTTTCTGAATATGCTGTTGAAAGGGTGAATACTATTTTTACGGGAGTAACATGAAAACTTTTTTCAAAGAATTGGACACAAAAACAAACTTGGCTTCAGGTTTGTGTAAACATTTTCGAGTAATAGTTTTCTTTTACTTGAAAATTTTCTCCCCAATTTAAAAAATTTTGAAGACTTCCATATTTTAAAATTACTATTGTTTGTACTATGAAATATCATCAACATAGAATTTTATTCACAATTTCTTTGTGAATCAATTTTTAAATCAAATTTATTCATAAATCAAATTTATAAGGTAGTGATATGTTTGTTTCATACAACAATAGTAATTTCTCACATACTGTACTGTATAGAAGTCTGAAAAAACTTTTAAATTGAGGAGAAAATGTTCAAGTACAGAAAACTGTCTCTTGAAAATGAGTACCCAACTATGATGCCAACCTGTTCTATGTTTCATAGAGATTTTACAGGAGTAACATGCACGCCTTTTTTGCAAGAATCAGACAAAAAACAAGGTTTCTGTCATGGTTGGGTACACATTTTCAAGTGACAGTTTTGTCATTGGAAAATTTTCTCCCAAATTTAGAAGTTTCTTCCTGACTTCTCTATTTGAACATTACTATATTGTTTGCTGTACTGTATTATGAAACAAAAATATAAGCAGCACAGATTTTGCTTTTCCTAAAGGGCTTGAATTGTTCACCCAGCACCAGCTTGTCAACTATGAATTTTGGGCACTAAAAACTAGTGTGCACAAAAATATTTTTCTGAATTCTTATTGAAAATCTAAGGTGAGATTCTTCATTGATGCTGTGGTATGGTACTCAAATTAATAGAGTACTGTTGACCCCTGCACAACAGACCTCCCACACAATGGATTTTTGCACAACAGACTGCCTCAGTATGCAGTTTTCCCTCCCATGCAATGGACTAAATCCACACAACAGACCTCTGTTGGAATAAAATTACTGGTAAAAAATAAATTTTGTAATTTTTTAATAATTTACTTTGCACAATAGAATTTTCACACAACAGACTAGCATGTTGCACAAATCAAGTCCATCGTGCTGAGTTTGACTATATAAACTCTTCTATGCATTTAGACAGAATAATACTTGTCTTACAATGGATTTTTGTTCAAAAGATGTTTTTCTTGGTTCCAGCAGTTCTTTCATTGAAATATTATAACAACAAAGCATTTGGGTCATTAAAAAAAGCTTTTTACAATGAAATTACAATAAACGTTGGGGCTAAAGGACAGGAACTGAAAAATCTGTGTGAGCAATAATTCATTATAACAATATATTTGTTGTTTTGAGATTCTCTTGAAAGTGATACACACAAAAAGGAAAATCTGATTTTGATAGCACAGTAACAACTATAAAAAAAAGAAAAGCGATTTTTTTTGTGCAGAAAATTTAGAAACATTTCAGGAAACATGAAGCATGATGCTGTTATCAAAATTGTTTGGCTTCATTTCAGATTTCAGAAGTGGCTCTTTCCAATCTGTATTTGAAAGTATGAAGTAATACCACCGTATTTTATTTCAGAATGTACAGTTGATGGTGAGCAAATGCTCTTCTTATGCACATGTTCATCCTTTCTTTTAATTTAAAGTTCAGGAAGATCATTAAATGTTTATAGGAAATTTGAAAAAGGAAAATTCTAAAATGAGACAATTGTACTACAGCATATTTTATTTTTTATTCATTTTCCCATTACAAGTATTTCATTTTTTAATGTAAAAGGTGAATATGCTTCAAATAGCTGTTGTGGAAGCACATTGAAGCAGTAATTGTCTCTCTCCTCACCAAATTCGTGTTTTGAATGATTGAGAGCCATGCATATCCTCACAAATTTCCTCAAACGTTTTCACATTTCCCTCAGAGTTTCCTATAAAAATAAGATTTCAGAATACTGTACTACGTACATTGAGGCATCCGTTTTTCATTTGATGACCCCATCCTGATTCCCACAACAATCATACCACAAATGAGCTCAGTTAATTATTATGTTTGCTTGATTAGGCATCATAGCTTGAGCTTCTTCAATTGATGGTAGCAATAGAACCTTAGACCCACCGTCATTGTCAGGGATGCTTCGATCCTAACAAAGAAAAATTGGAACACGAAATAAAATAAATGCATGATAGGTCATTTGTGGCCAAGACTAGGTCTCAAGGAACTGTTGTAATTTCGATTTTCACAAGTATAACAGAATGGCATTTCACTTTCAGAGTATCAGACAAAAGTTTTAAGACAAAGTGAGTGTCTTTTGTGCTATATGCAATTCAGAGGTTGAGCAGAATCCAGTTTGTGGCAGGCAGGTTTTCCATGGTCAGTAAGTATTTGTGTTGGTGTGTTCAGTTCGATATTCGTGTTCGTGGCGCGTCGTACATTTTGCGTTTTCGGGCGACATCTAGTGGTTCCCTGATAGTCATGATCCCTGAAATCTGAACAAATCAGAGACGCGACAAATTTCCCCCAACTATTTCAGTCAACCTTGGAAACCTTCAATGCGGTTAAATTCATTGGAATAGCTTTGATGTCGTTTTCATCAGGTGTGCTTTTGAAAATAGATAATTTTTGCGTGGTGATGACACAAGGGAACCAATTGCATGCTGTGCTGAAGAAAATACTGTACTTGGATTGCCTGACCTGTTGAAAATCGAATGAAAATTAGAAATCGCATGGATGATAATTGCATCCTTCCCTTTTTATGATCTTTTATGTGACAGCGGAAGAATTGAATGGTTGTGCTTTTATTACAGAGAAAATAATTAAGGCTAATTTCCGTCGTTTATTATTGATCTATTCTCCTTCGGGGGGAGGGGATAAAACTGAATCGTGAACCAACTTGATATTAAAAGTTCATGACTGTACGGTATGTATATATCCACCAGATTTCGCATTTGAATGACAAATTTATCAAAACTTTGATTTCATAGAAACGTAGGAAAAAATTAGCGGAACCTGTCATTAGCTGCTGGTTGAAATTGATTTTACACAGAAATGCATTTCAAATCAAACCTTAAAACGTTCACGAAGTCATTTTAATGGAATCACAAAAATAATGAATCTCAGCTGCGCGTAAATCCTTGATTTTTTTCATTTTTTCATGGCTTAATCCACGTGAACATGACAATAGTCTATTACAAGATTTGAAGTAAATATGGTAATAATGCACTTTAAAAGCTTTGAAATGCTTGCAATAGCGCGCAGTAATTTGTCATGGAATTACAGAAAATCTACATCTAGATTGAATATTTTAATGTTTTTCTATACGGAATGATTTTGAATATGCGGTCATGCTTTTTTTGTAAAACACCGTGTATATATACCTGAATCAATAAGCCTTGGTATAATAAGTCACACCTCATGAAATTGCCAGCATTTATACGGAGAGCAATTTGACATGCAGCTGAGTGATGCATGCATGTGGTCATTGTGAATGACAAGCTCAAGTTGTTCATGTAACTCAAAGTGCACTTATTTGCTGCTGATGTTCAAGAACCTAATTGCACTTCAAATGGCAACAACCATCAGGAACTCTTATATTCTTGGATCATGTAAAAAGTCTGATGCATCAGTATATGAAATGAAATAATCAAGATTTTTTTAATACAGTTGAACCTCTATAAGTTGAATTTCTAGGGACCAGGAAAAAATTTGGCTTAGGGAGGTTTTGATTTTTGGAGGTTTCCAGTTGAGAAAAAGACACTTCTGTTGTGAGGAGAAGTGAAAAAAGTGTGGGAAATCATGAATGAGGATATTATGGGCCAAAACTAGCTCCTCAATGAGTTTACAACTTCCTGAACTTGGAGGCAGGGGTTCATTTGCTATTTTTGCCTTTCAATTCCTTTCAAGATGCATCCAATTATTTGTTTTAATCATATTCTCTTTCATATTTCAAGTGAATAATAATCATAAGGCCTCAGAAAATTTGACTTACAGAGGTTTTGGAGAGAAGAAAATTGAGTTGGGGAGGTTTTTAATGCATTCTAAGGGAATTCAGACATGGAGTTGATAAAAATTTGACTTAGGGAGTTTTGACTTATTAAGGTTCACATGTATTTCATTCCTTTAACTGCATATGATTCATTTGTTGCATTGAGAGCCATCAGGAACCATGCATCAACGGATTTTGAGCCACTTCAATTGGTTTGGACTCAAATTTGGCAGAGAAGATTAATACACTGAAATCTTATCAAGTCAAACTTGAAGGCACCAGCAAAAATAGAGTGTCTGGTGGGCTTCAGGTTTGGGGAATGAGCATTTGTGTTGGAGGAAAAGATCAAAGACTTTCAGCAAATTATAATTGGTGATATTCTGAGCATTTAATTGCTATTCAAATGAGTTTGCAAGATGTTGAACTTAGATGAAAGGGTTCACTTGCCCCATTGGTCTTTCATACTTCCTTCCAAACTGGATCAAGTTATATTTATATTTCTTTTTTTCTGTGTCAATAAAATACAGTGGGGTCTTGGCTTACAAACTCATTTGGTTCTTGGACAAAGTTTGTTGGCAGAATAGTTTGTAAGCCAAAACAAATTTTCCCTTGAGAAAGCAAAGGAATAATTTTAATTATCATAGTTCCTTGAAAATCCCCATGGAATTCAAGAAAATGCATTGTTAAAAATATTTTCAGGCCTAAAATCCCTTAAATCTTTCCAAGGCAATACACAAGCAACTCACTGCAGTAAAACAATCCTTAAAGGTAAAATTCTAAAGTGAGTTTCTCCATAGGTTTCTTCTTGAAAATTTTAAATGCAACACCACAAACTTATTCACAGACCAAGGGCTTAGGATGGACAATTTTAATGCTAAAAAGCTGTTAAATTGTAACTCAATGAGAATGAAAGAAGCATTGGTGATCAAGAATTGGTCACTAAACTTTTGCGACATTCTCAGGTGAATATGTTTTAACGTGAATCCCTAGATGCTGCTAAAGAAATTTTGTTGACCCATGAGCATTTGGAGAACTCAGAGGTTGTAGCCTTTTGTTGCATGGTTTGTTAGCCAGAGCAGCTGAGGTCATAATTGTTAGCTGAAAAGTTTGTAACCCAGGGCATTTCTAAGCCAATAGATCCCACTACTCAAAAGGCTAGCAAAAAATTTGAGGTATGGAGGTTTGAGGAGGAAAGCCTCTGAGTTGGAGAGGTTCTTAATGCATTGCTTCAGAAGGAATTCAGACAGGGACTTGCAAAAAAAATTTGACATTGGAAAGTATTCATGCCATCAAGGTTCAACTATACTCTTGTCTGGCATTATCAGTAAAAAAATGCTAACAGACTATCATACAATCCATGAGATAGTTCAATAGAACATACTGATGCTCAAATGATGGTTATTCTTCAAGTTTGTAGTGATATTTGTGGTATCAGGCCAATTTAGCACTTGGGAGGATTTCCTGAGTAATTTTCTGATATATTATGTAATTTTTGCTCCTAAACAAGTCTTTCATTTCATCAAATAGTTTTCATTGTATGCTGCATTATAAATAATCCATTATATAGTGTACAGCACTATCATGGATATTCAAAAGCATCACTTATTATGGTCATCAGTTGAATGGTTTGACTTTCTGAAGGCATCCTCTGCATGGTGAATGAATGGAACTCATGCGCGGTGGGAACGTTGAACGCAGCTCTCAGGGTGCGCATCTCCGCTCACTACCGTACCTTCTGTGTACAGTACAGTACACCTCGACTGGCAAAAGCCATGCGATTGCGCGACCCAGGATTGGAAAATGCACACATCACGCAATAACGCTGCTGGCGATCGGTGGAGTTCAAAAGGAGACGAGAGACTCGGCGTTTACGCTTGACCCTCGTGTTCACGGGATTACCAAGATGGATAGAAGAACCCTCGCATCTTTGCTTGCTGGCATCTTTCATGGTGAAGAAAAAAAGGAACGAAAAGGAAGACCAGAGAAGAGAATGTTTGCGTCTCGCTGGTTGTAAATGAAGAAAGACGGAATGAATGAAGGATGCGTTTCCTGTATATGTTCTCTGTCTGGAACTCCGCCGAAGATCACGACGCAAAAGCGAAGCCGGACTTTGAAAAGAATGCAAAAGAACGCTCATGTGGATGCTAAAAATATAAATAAATCTATAAGGTACAGTATATATATACCTGTATAGAGATAACAAAGCCCGATCCCAGGATCATTAATATAAGTTATGCTTCTCAAGCATACAGGAAAAAAAAGAGTGAGACACGATTGGGTGCGGGAAATCCCAGGGATTTCACTCAAAATTGACTGACTTCAGCAGTTCAAATAAGATATACAGGGTGAGCGAAAAAAGTGAACAGATTTTCAATTCACCATAGCTCAGTAGCGAATCAAGGTACAGCAATGAAAATTAAACAACAAATGAAAGCTTTTTTCAATTACAGCAATGAAAATTAAACAACAAAAGCAAGCTTTTTCAATTACCTTTCAAATTGAATGTAGTTTCATGGTCCTATAAGCACCAAGGCATGGTCACCAGCAGAACCAGCATTGTATGAAACTTGAAAAAAAAGTTCCACTAATATAAGCTGCTGTTTTTTGGAGCTGTAGCATAAATATATTAGTTTGTGCATCACCAGAGCACCTTCTCTTCTTATGTCCAGCATTTCATACTGATAGAAACAAGCTTAAGAAAGATTTACAAGTACTGGAATTCTATGAAGAGACCCTTTCTGAAATCTTAAAGGATCAAGATGAACTGTCAGCTTTATATGATTTCTCATCAAAGATTCTCTGTAATTTGTTCATTCAACTAAACTTAATACAGAAACAAGCTGAAGGCCTTGTGCTTTAAATTAATTTTTACATATATTTTGTAACCAATGTCAGGGAATGAATGGGTGTATGCATACATGTCAGATGTCCAGTTGTATTACATGTTGTATTGTATTTTCTTTTATTTTTTTTTGTTATCAATTTGTGCTTTCCTGCTCTGAAGTGATTAAAATGTCATTGAGTGGATTTGGGTTGGGTGGGAAGGGGGTTTGGTTGTGGAAATCTTGATTGAACCTTGTGAATACTGAAAAGTGGCAAATAAAGTGTTCTGTTCATTCATTCATTGGAGCTGTTTTTGGGGATAAAAGGGGTGCAAGAACAGTAATTTACCTAGCAAATTTAATGCTACCTTCAAAAGAGGGTGCACACATACCCAAACTTAAGGAGGTTGAGCTGAGAAGTGCAAAAAAAGAAATTTCAGCAAATGGATATGTTGCCCTGCTCCAGGATCCCAGAGCATGCTTGCTGTGTGCCAGCTTCATGGCTTCTGTGACACCCCAGTGTGCAATTATTTTTATGGATAACTGGGTTACTCCAAATCAGTTTGACTCATTAATCACGCCCAGAAAAAATGCACAGTTGAGAGCCTTTTGTTGCTGCAAGAACCCCTATATGAAATGGGGAGTGAACCCAATAGAACCACACAGAAAATGTATACTGTTCAGGTGGTACCTTGCAAAGTTGCAATTTAACCTTCCACAATTCAACCTTACCACAATTTGATGGTTGAATTTGCAGAGTTGACTTGCAATTTGACCTCTGCCCTGGACTTTGGCCACTTTTTTTTAGCAATTTTTTGCTCATATTTCCAAGTTTTACAGAGTGTCTCACAAATTGACTGCTTTGCAATTTGACCCTAGTCCAGAAACAGAAAAGGGTCAGATTGCAAGGTACCATCTGTAAAGAGAAAATTGTTGTACACCAGATTGTTGTACTAAAGTTAGTTCATCTGTGTGATCTACATGCAGTATTTGGAGCATTTTAAATTCAAAAAACAAAAATTGAAAATAATATAAGTAGAAATTAATACCATATTCACTTGAGTATACCACGCGCCCTTGAGTAAGGCGCACACAGGGGTTTTTCAGTTTGAAATTTGGGTGAAATTTTATACCTGAGTAAGATGCATACCCCAATTTTTAGTGAATCTAAAACCATTAAATTTTGAAAAAAAATTCAAAAAATTCAACTTCACACATGAATTGAACAAAAATCTGATCAATTTTCAACTTTTTCAGTACACAAAATTTTATTCTTACATTTGTTCAAAATTTCTTGATTACAATCAAGTCTAATGCACACATAAATTCCAAAAACTTCTTGAAGATTTTGAGCCTGCTTATGAGGCGCACCCCTTTTTTCTTCTGAAATTTGAGAAAAAAGGTGCGCATGGTACTTGAGTAAATATGGTATATGCCAGATTATATGCAAACAAATCCATTGGTATTTGAGTGAAGAAACTTACATTATATGAATTTTAAAAACACAACTATGTACCAAAAGGTGAATTGCATGATCTTTTTCCTCGTGTATACATACAGGAACACAAATCCTTCATTACATTATGAAACAGAAGAGAATACGTTACATTTGACATCAGATACTGTAATTGCAAGTTTTCTCTAAATTGTATAGTTCTATACATATTCTCACTTATTTCACAGTAATGTCTGCGTATTTACAATTACTCTTTCGCAAAAGACACACGCAGCCAACAGAACTCAGTACTACTGCATTGACGAAAGAGAAAATGTTTCAGAATATACCATAACATTCATTCAATACGCAAAACAAGCCCATTTTTGAATAGCATTCATCATGATGAATGCATCCGACGCACATCAACACGTGTATATGTCACGTACGGCGGGGAACAGAATTGTTTCGCCATCACAAAAAAAAGGAAAAATACACGTAACTTGGACAACGAACACCTTTTTATAATGTTATCACAGAGCCAGCAGCAAGGAACAGTACTGCTGCACTTTTTTTTTATGTACATTTTCGTTGGGATCTCTCTATTTTGAATGACCCGTCAAAAGCTGCATTTTCACGAATTTCTTGCACGATTTTTTCATCAGCAGGTGTTCCTTTGTTCAAAAGAAATTAAGACAGCCACACTAATTTTTTAAATAAAATTGAAATCCTCTCTTCGATTTGATCGCCGACTTTTTCCACTCTCCTGCACCTAAATGCAACATACACATGAAGACAGAATTTTTTTAAATACATTTTTTAGAAGAAAACTAAACTGCAGCCTGTAAGTCGAGTTTTCCAGAATCCACTTATTGGCTTACTTCTCCATGTCATTCCATGAATTTACTGCCCTATTCAGCCATAAATCTACAGCATATGTAGTTCATTTGCAGTACAGTATTTTGTAGAGAACAATTGTATGCAGGACTACAGGTACATGTTAGGTATGGTTTCATTTCTAATTGGCCTGAGAATGTGATTTTATCAATCAATAGTGGTGGAACTAGCAAAGAGAAGCTTATTATTATGGAAACTTTCAAGCATTAAAAAAAGGATGATGCAATGCAATCTCAGTGCAATTAACTTCCACCAGGGACCTTGGAGAATGATTTCTAAGAACTTATACACGGAGAATCTTATGCATATTAATTTTTTTTAGTTGAAAGCTTAGCTTCTTTAAAATCTGAGTTTTTGCTGGACAAATGCATGTACTCAAACAAATTGGAATAGATTTCCAGCAGAGTAACACATTTCTAACAGCAGCAGTAGAGTAACGAAGTTCCCCCAGATAAAATAATGTTTTACTGTATTCGTATTAGTACCAGAAAAATCTTGAAAAAGTTATTTTTTGCAATTGAAAGTAAATTTCCATTAAAATTGTTTTCAAATAAAATTATATTATAATATACAGTACCCAAACATATTTTTTCATTCATACCTCTGACAGGGCATGATAATAATGCATGAATGTGAAAATGATTATGCATTACAATTTTGTAAAATTTCAATTTTTGGAATGACAATCAAAAAGAAGTAGAGCAGCACAATGGCTCTCATACAGTGTATCTCTTTATTTTTCTATACAGTACTTCAATAATAAGTGGGCTGCAGCAGTTTTGAAAAGTCAATCCTGTAGCTGGTTTGCATCTTCAGTTTTCCAACAGTTTCTTATTCAAGCTGAAGTGATCATTATTTTATTCATCTCACAGCAGCACTCCATCATCAGGCATCATAAAATGTCTCCTTTTGTTATCAATTTGTGCTTTCCTGCTCTGAAGTGATTAAAATGTCATTGAGTGGATTTGGGTTGGGTGGGAAGGGGGTTTGGTTGTGGAAATCTTGATTGAACCTTGTGAATACTGAAAAGTGGCAAATAAAGTGTTCTGTTCATTCATTCATTGGAGCTGTTTTTGGGGATAAAAGGGGTGCAAGAACAGTAATTTACCTAGAAAATTTAATGCTGCCTTCAAAAGAGGGTGCACACATACCCAAACTTAAGGAGGTTGAGCTGATAAGTGCAAAAAAAAATATTTCATTTATTGGATATGTTGCCCTGCTCCAGGATCCCAATGCATGCTATGCTGGGTGCCAGCCCCATGGCTCCTGTGACACCCCAGCATGCAATTATTTTTATGGATAACTGGATTGCTCCAAATCAGTTTGACTCATTAATCACAACCACAAAAAATGCACAGTTGAGAGCCTTTTGTTGCTGCAAGAACCCCTATATGAAATGGGGAGTGAACCCAATAGAACCACACAGAAAATGTATACTGTTCAGGTGGTACCTTGCAAAGTTGCAATTCAACCTCCCACAATTCAACCTTACCACAATTTGATGGTTGAATTTGCAGAGTTGACTTGCAATTTGACCTCTGCCCTGGACTTTGGCCACTTTTTTTTTAGCAATTTTTTGCTCATATTTCCAAGTTTTACAGAGTGTCTCACAAATTGACTGCTTTGCAATTTGACCCTAGTCCAGAAACAGAAAAGGGTCAGATTGCAAGGTACCATCTGTAAAGAGAAAATTGTTGTACACCAGATTGTTGTACTAAAGTTAGTTCATCTGTGTGATTTACATGCAGTATTTGGAGCATTTTAAATTCAAAAAACAAAAATTAAAAATAATATAAGTAGAAATTAATACCATATTCACTTGAGTACCACGCGCCATTGAGTAAGGCGCGCACAGGGGTTTTTCAGTTGGAAATTTGGGTAAAATCTTATACCTGAGTAAGATGCATACCCCAATTTTTAGTGAATCTAAAACCACAAAATTCTGAAAATAAATTCGAAAAATTCAACTTCACACATGAATTGAACAAAAATCTGATCAATTTTCAACTTTTTCAGTACACAAAATTTTCTTCTTACATTTGTTCAAAATTTCTCTATTACAATTAAGTCTAATGCACACATAACTTCCAAAAACTTCTTGAAGATTTTGAGCCTGCTTATGAGGCGCACCCCTTTTTTTCTTCTGAAATTTGAGAAAAAGGTGCGCATGGTACTTGAGTAAGTATGGTATATGCCAGATTATATGCAAACAAATCCATTGGTATTTGAGTGAAGAAACATACATTAAATAAATTTTAAAAGCACAACTATGTACCAAAAGGTGAATTGCATGATCTTTTTCCTCTTGTATACATACAGGAACACAAATCCTTCATTACATTATGAAACAGAAGAGAATACGTTACATTTGACATCAGATACTGTAATTGCAAGTTTTCTCTAAATTGTATAGTTCTATACATATTCTCACTTATTTCACAGTAATGTCTGCGTATTTACAATTACTCTTTCGCAAAAGACACACGCAGCCAACAGAACTCAGTACTACTGCATTGACGAAAGAGAAAATGTTTCAGAATATACCATAACATTCATTCAATACGCAAAACAAGCCCATTTTTGAATAGCATTCATCATGATGAATGCATCCGACGCACATCAACACGTGTATATGTCACGTACGGCGGGGAACAGAATTGTTTCGCCATCACAAAAAAAAGGAAAAATACACGTAACTTGGACAACGAACACCTTTTTATAATGTTATCACAGAGCCAGCAGCAAGGAACAGTACTGCTGCACTTTTTTTTTATGTACATTTTCGTTGGGATCTCTCTATTTTGAATGACCCGTCAAAAGCTGCATTTTCACGAATTTCTTGCACGATTTTTTCATCAGCAGGTGTTCCTTTGATCAAAAGAAATTAAGACAGCCACACTAATTTTTTAAATAAAATTGAAATCCTCTCTTCGATTTGATCGCCGACTTTTTCCACTCTCCTGCACCTAAATGCAACATACACATGAAGACAGAATTTTTTTCAATACATTTTTTAGAAAAAAACTAAACTGCAGTGTGTAAATTGAGTTTTCCAGAATCCACTTATTGGCTTACTTCTCCATGTCATTCCATGAATTTACTGCCCTATTCAGCCATAAATCTACAGCATATGTAGTTCATTTGCAGTACAGTATTTTGTAGAGAACAATTGTATGCAGGACTACAGGTACATGTTAGGTATGGTTTCATTTCTAATTGGCCTGAGAATGTGATTTTATCAATCAATAGTGGTGGAACTAGCAAAGAGAAGCTTATTATTATGGAAACTTTCAAGCATTAAAAAAAGGATGATGCAATGCAATCTCAGTGCAATTAACTTCCACCAGGGACCTTGGAGAATGATTTCTAAAAACTTATACACGGAGAATCTTATGCATATTAATTTTTTTTAGTTGAAAGCTTAGCTTCTTTAAAATCTGAGTTTTTGCTGGACAAATGCATGTACTCAAACAAATTGGAATAGATTTCCAGCAGAGTAACACATTTCTAACAGCAGCAGTAAAGTAACAAAGTTCCTCCAGATAAAATAATGTTGTACTGTATTCCTATAATAGTAGTGCCAGAAAAATCTTGAAAATGCTATTTGTCGCAATTGAAAGTAAATTTCCATTAACATTCTTTTTAAATAAAATTATGATATACTGTAATATACAGTACCCAAAAACATTCTTCCATTCATACCTCTGACAGGTCATGATAATAATGCATGAATGTGAGAAGAATTTTGCATTACAATTTTGTAAAATTTCAAGTTTTGGAATGACAATCAAAAAGAAGTAGAGCAGCACAATGGCTCTCATACAGTGTATCTCTTTATTTTTCTATACAGTACTTCAATAATAAGTGGGCTGCAGCAGTTCTGAAAAGTCAATCCTGTAGCTGGTTTGCATCTTCAGTTTTCCAACAGTTTCTTATTCAAGCTGAAGTGATCATTATTTTATTCATCTCACAGCAGCACTCCATCATCAGGCATCATAAAATGTCTCCATTACGTAATACTGAAGGTCAAATTGAAATACTGTATAACTTTAAAAGCCTTGTTATTCTCTCTCAACAATTGCGTACTTCAGGTCTTCAACTGACGAATTCAGAAGAAGGCAAGTTTCCAAAGCAATTGAACTTGAAGCAGTCCCATTACTTAAATAGTGCTGGATTATTGTGATTACAGTACAATATTTTAGTTTGAAAAACGTGCTCACTCAAGATTTCTCAATCCATGAATACCACGAGTGTATATTTGGAAAACAGAAATTTCAACACCACCGTAATAAATAAATAAACCAAAGCCTTCCATTTGATGAAGAAAGGAATGACAATGAGCAACATAAATTAAACTCATACACCATAAGCTTGGTTCATTTTCACAAATTGCTTCAAATTTTGGACTTTTGTATATGATTCCTAGCCACAGATATGAAATAAAGTACTGTACAGTCAACCCCCCTCTAATGGACTTGATTTGTGCAAGGGACAAGTCTGTTAGACAAAAAGTCCTTTACACGAATTCAATTGCATAAACAATTAAAAATTTCAATTTTCAACACTAATTTCAAACCAAAAGAAGTTTGTTTGGCGGATTTTGTCTGTTGGGCAGGAGGAAAAACTGCTTGCAGAGCTGGTTTGTTCGGCAAAAATCCCTTACACGGGAGGTCTGTTAGGCGGGGGGCCACTGTATATACATTTACAAATTTTATTTGAAAAACTGCTTGCAGAGCTGGTCTGTTCGGCAAAAATCCCTTACACGGGAGGTCTGTTAGGCGGGGGGCCACTGTATATACATTTACAAATTTTATTCTGAAGCATAAACGTGTATGCTGCTTCATGGTGCAACTGGTCTCAATGAAATTTTGGTTATGTTGTTTTCTTTTTCTAGAAAATAAGATATTTCAATGACACATTTGCACCAAGGGACTTGCACATGGGCCAGCACTAACTGCTGTGGAGCGCGGCTCCAGTGGGAGAATTGAACGCACATATGAAAGTGCTGTTGCAACCAATTTCACCAGGATTATCTTTTTGGACAGGGCAATGCCCTTGTTGACCTCAGATTCAGGCAATCAGTTGCATCACCAATTTTGAATGCATAATTCTCTTCACATTATTATCATGACCTGTCAGAGGAATGAATGGAAAAAAGTGTTTTGGTACTGTACTACAGTTGACCCTTAACCTTGATTACTCACACTTCCCCATGTTGAATACCTCCCAATGTCAAGTTTTTTTTTCAAGTCCCAGTCTGAATTTCCTTAAAGACAATCCGTTAAAACCTATCTAACCCAAAGACTTTCTCCCCTCAAACCTGATAAATTCGATTTTTCATAGGCCTTTTATTAATAAAGGAAAGAAAAGGGCCAGAAAATTCAACTTGATGTGTATCCAAAGGAATTAAAAGACACAACAGTAATTGGGTAAATAAAACCTTGCCTCAGCATCCTGTCAACTCATTCAAAAAGCAATTTAAGGCCCAGAATATCACCAATTCCAATTTCCAACAGTTATTCTTTCTTTCCTCCAACAGTACACTCCAGAATTGGATTGTTTCTTTTGCTACTCCCTTGAATTTTGACTTAAAAATAGGTTGAATTGTAACTGAATGTGTGCAGATTCATTCTTCCACATCCTACAATCTCCTTCTTCAAAAACACTTCAGGAAGAATTGGTACAATCTTGAAGAATTCTCATCAGTATTAGCCTGCAAGGGAATGCAATTTATTTTTCTCAGAATTTCTTCCGAGAGGTACTTGGAAGAACGGGACGACTGAGTAGATCGAATGTAAAAACACGGCAACAGGGAATACTGTATTTTCTCAACGCAATCCTCCCGAGTCAGGATTTGACCGTGGGTTGTGCAATTTCATCGTTATATTGCTTCTTTTGCAAGTTACGCCAAGCTTCTCAACAGACGGGGTTCTGGAAAAAGAGGAAAAAAGAAAGAACACGATGACGCAGAGGAATTGGAAACTCGAAATCAGTACTTGGAATTTCAAGCGTCTCATCTTCGTTTCATCCTTTCAACAGTGGCTCAAAATCCCTACAGAAATTCGCGCACAAAAACCAAGAGAAATTCACCGAACATAAACCGGAATTCCAACGGATGAAATTCACAATGCCATTCCATACCACAACCTTCCTCAAAATCCGCTTACCGGAATTAATCACTTTCTCAACATGCTTCGAAGGCTAATTCATGAATACGGGATTAATACGCAGGTATTTTTCTTTCGCAGATAGAATGTCGCAATTTTTCTTCAATCTTTCATCCATCCATGTTCGACTCTGAAGAATAAGAACCTTCGCACAACTCGGAAAATCAATGTGAAATAGGGTTCCAACAACGCGTTTCATTTTCCTCAGACAAGAAGAGATGACATGGTATTCAGAGCAAGAGAAAGTCATTGAAATTGGCAGAAATTATTGTCAATATCTCTGACGTGACGTCTCCGAACGAGGCGGTGAAGGAAAGACGCTTGTAGAAGACGCTAATGAGTCGCAGATTATTCGTCCTGATCAGTTTAAAAATACTGTAAGAACCATCCCTCGCATTTCGGGGTTGGGATGATGAAAAGAGTGACGGACGCAAGAGATCGGAATCCACTTGAAAGCCAGGTCAAAACGAAGACGATTCAACTGAAGATAAAAAAAATAAAAATAGCGTACGAAACGTAATCGTGCCGTACCCAGCTGCTCATCACACGAGTACTGCGCATTTTGAGTCAAGATTATCGCGAGTTCCCAAGTATAAATAACGCGCTGAAGTTATCCCCAACCTCAAACACGCTCTGAGCTTCACATAGCTCGGACCTTCCATTGACGATTGAACTTCAAGAAGCGCAATCATCATACTTACAGTGAAAAACCAATTCGGAAATCGGTCGAAAAAATTCTACAACTTCGACTTCCACTGTGTTTCGCGGCACGTCCTTGAACGTTGTGATTTGTGCTCGTTAAATCCGCAGTTTTCGGGAACCGATCTGCAGTTACACTCAACAACTCAAAATAAGCAGCATCCGAATGAAGACCTCTCTCGGAAAATCACCACTTTGCTTAATAAAGTATTAAATATATTCTCCGCGACGTATTCCGTCTCCTTCCTAGTCCTAAACTTAGCAATAATCTTAACCACATCAAACAAACAAAGGTGTGTGATTATGTATAGACATTTCGGATTCGAAGAAACGCAGCCTCCATCATACGTCTGTGAGAAAACCAACCAAATGTGAGAAAAGAAGTGACTCCAGTGTCATTATGTCACCATGTTCAACGGGATTTCGGAAAATTTGATGAGTTCGAAACTTTCAAAACCTCCGATCCATTTCCTTTTTGGCGTTACAATTCTCAACGGCTTTTCAGTACATTACTGCATAGATAGATGTCGCTGACAGTTCGAAGTGCATCACGATTCTCTACAGTCTACACCGTATACAGCATTGACTCACCGCGGATTTCATCTGATCTTGAGATTCTCTTGTACCGTAATTCACTTCATTGCGTAAGCAGTGACATAAAAGGGTTGAATCCATGGGGTTTCACTTGGTATTTCGAAGATATTTCCGGGGCCGATTTTCGAAAAATCTTCCAAGAAGTTCATTCGGATTTATACGCGATTCTGCGCGCTTTGGATTCCAGATTCGAACCACTGTACTATACTGTATATACGAACTTTTCCGTCGCATAATAGATTTTTAGACACAACAGTACATATTTCCAGAATTCCTCAACACAGAGCTGCTCGTATTGGGAAGTGCAATAATACTCAACAAACTCGCAATGTTACCAGGTAAGCGCATAAGTTCTTCCTTCATGAGTATTATTAAAAAATGAGCTTGCTCGAGAATTTCCTCTGACCATCTCATCAGTGGCGTCGTTGAGCATCTTCGCAATCATGGCGATTCCCATCTTGGGCCAAGATGCAGAGATTTTGCGAGTGCTGGACGCAGTTCCCGAAACATCATTCACATGCGATGACAAGACCTTCGGATTCTACGCCGATGTTGAGGCTGATTGTCAAGTGAGTTCACTTTTACGCTGAATTCTATAGCGAAGAGTGAGCGACATTGATTGTTCTTGAAATTTTACGATACATCGCAGTCATTCCACATTTGCTCCGGTTCGCCGAACAATCAGAAGTGGTCGATGCTATGCCCCAACCAAACAGTATTCAACCAGGTAAACATCGTGACACCAGCGTTTTCATCAATTCGAGTGATTCCAATTGCTTGATTTTCTTTTATTTTTAATTCAGCAATACCTGGTGTGCGATTACCCCGTAAATGTCGTGTGTGCTGACGCTCCACAAGCATACATCATAAATGCACGCATCGGAGATCCAAATGCGAAACTGATCGATTGATCGCTTGACATCTACCGCGCAATTTTGTAAAAAAAAAAAAGAGAGATAACCTTTTGTACGGTGGCAACAAATATAGCTCAAATTCTATGTCAAAATAAGTACTGTACCCGTTTATACGTGAAATCTCGGGGTTGAGAATCCATGTCCACAAGTGGACAGCGTATCTGCGGAGCATTGATGGTAACTATTCGGACACAGTCTGTCACTCATTTTCATAATTAATTCAAATCCCACTCGATTTCGTTTTCAAAATTCGGGAGGAAATGGGCGGATTTGCCTGTTTTCCCGAAGTACTGTGAATATGATGGGGCGCAAGGCTAACTTACGCGGCAACATTTTTGGGACGCTCGGCACAACAGTAAATACCATACGCTACAGTGTACTTCATTTTCGCGAAGTACTGCCCCTTACCATCGACCCAATCAGTCCACTGGTGGAAATATCTTCAAGTGCGGGTATGAGTCCATCTTGACCATTCATCGACGTTAATAATTTCCCCGAGAAATGGTGCATTTTCAGAAAACATTGTAAATCGGAATTCATTTCAAAGGCCTTGATCCGAACTCGGTGCAGAAAAAGCTGGACGACTTTTGTTTATTTTCTGCTCAGTTTCCTCCAGTTGGACATTACCCATGCATCGATTGAAGTTCACAAGAGCATTTTGAAGAATATAAAACCAGAAACCATATTTACTTTATCGACGCATCATAGCTTTACCAAAATTCAATGGCGCTCAGTTTCCTCAAACTGAACCTTCGCGTTCAAAATTACTGTGTTTAGGCATTATTCTCACAAAAGTCCAAAAAAGTATCATTCAGCGGATACATTAATATACAGCCAATGATAATCCCCACGGAAAATCGTCTAAAAAAATGAGTCTTTCGTATCGACATAACGCAATAATTCAACACGTTTTGCGGTGCAACGAACTGTAGACACAGTATCCATTTACTATCATGAGGAAGTTTCGGGTCACAATAAATAAAAAAAAGGAGATACGAAAAGAAGACGGTAAATCATCGCTGTAGAAAAGATGCACGACAATCTGTTTGCATCAATGCCCGCTGAAATCAATCATCCACTTTCTTTGTAACGCTTCCACATTGAAAAGAAATACTGAACACTTTGAAATCAGGAATTCGGTTTCTCAATCATGCCAGAATCGCTTACGCAACTATTTTCCAAAAGAATCGTTCTAACGAAAATGCACGGATATTAAGGCTGAATTACGGGAGGCAACGAAACTAGTACGATTTCGAAAGAAGAACCATTTCTCCCGGGGATGGCACGAATTCATCAGATCCGCCCGGAATTTGATCAGTTTCATCAATCTCACTGACGAGGAAAACGCAAAACTCAAGCAAAATTGCAGCCGAAATATTTTCATGCGCCCTTTTGTTCCAATTTGACTCCAGAACATTCTTAAAACTCGAGCCGAAGCCGGAAATCCAGAAAATATCCTTTTCGAGTAACATACCATCCCCAAAAGAAAAAATAGCTTCCTTTCGACCCGAATTCTCGACTCTGTGACTATGTCAAATTCCAGGTACGTTTCCGAGGCTCAAAAATGTTCTTGACGACCGAAGGAAAAAAAAAGGTTTCCGTCAGGCCAGCGACAAGTGAACATAATCCCGAAAAAAACTTTTCCTTCAACAACCGAAGTTATTATATGAAGAACTGAAAATGAACACGTCACCAGATTTTCCGCAGGGAAGAGATCGACCAATGTGACGGCAGCCTCGTTAAGACTTCTCTTCGTTGAATGGAAAGACAAACTAGAATGGAACGTCATCTCAGTACATGGAATGCGTGTATGCCAGAGGATCTGCAGTATTTCTGAACCGTCTCGCTACAAAGAATCCGAATACCTGAAAGAATATTGCGTAAAAGTATTTTAGGGAATACAGCGATTCATTTTTGTGAAAGTTTCAAGAATTGCCATTCTCCAATCAGCAATCATTTTCCGAACACACATTCATTCAGCTCATGCAGTTTCAATGCGAAAAATTCGTCTTTCAGGTTTCAATCAGTTAGTACACAAGATTAAGAATTTTACACACAAGTCCGAAAGACATATAAATTGTAATTGACAGGGATTATTAAAATGGGTACCGCTCCACGATGTCACGCAAGTTAAATTTTCCATGTGAAATCATCAAATACGGACAGAAGTTTACCATAAAACCGGAAGAAATCATGATTATTACAGAAGCTTCCTAGAATTCTTCACAATTTTTTTTTGTCACGCAACACAAACTTGCGTCTCTCACACCACTAAAATACCGCATAATCCATTGTAAAAAGCAAGGCCTTTAGATCTTACACGACGAAGACACAAGTCCGGTTCACCTACGTCCATATACAGTACTTCAAGAGAAATGCAGACTTTAACGATTTTATGAATCGCTCAAGAAGATGCCTCAAAGAAATCGGAAACAAGAACAGTACACAGATGAACACCTTGCTGGACGAAGCAATTCGTCCAAAAATTATAGATTATATTCTTGCATACTTACTTCCCCCTTGTTTAAGAGTTTCCTCTTCTTATTCACTCAGTCAATTGAAGAAAAAAAATGTATTACTACATTTTAAAATCATTCGCCCTTGATGACGAAAGCACGCTCTCCAAATTCAACAAACCCGTACAAAAACGCAGTTCTGTTCTACACATGTTTCTTTTAAATTGTACTCCAATTCAGCGATCTTATTAGGTAAAAAAAAAAAATTTCAATTCAAAATCTCGCAGATTAAGATGCGAACAAGCGTTTCATGCTTCATAAAACTAATATACAGTACTATACTTCGAAACACCGAAATGCTGTTCGCGTCTTCAGTAGATACTTACCCACATAAAAAAAGCATCAACCTCAGTTTCCAGACATGTGCAATATGCCACTATATTAATCGCAGAAATCTGCTTTCTAAATAATGGCAGATCCTACTACAAAAACATCTGTATCAAAGAAGTGTCTTAATGACACCTTCACGGAATTCTGTATGAATCAATCGTTGAGAACTAGTGAAAGCAGTAAGAAAACACAGCTTCCCAAGAAATCGGGTTATGAAACAACGTGCAAAACCGAGGAAAGGTCAAAAGAAGGTTAGTTACAGGAACGTTGCAGCCTTAGTGCGTGGATCCTTCTGATTTCGATACCGCATGGTTAACCACACCCCAACAAACTGAAACGTACATCAAAAACCGTGAAAATGCAACCCATCACCACCGCGAAAGGTCTGAAATCGAAATATACCTCCGTGAAGGAGAAAAACAAGCCCAGACCACCGCTGACTTTGTAGGCATAGCTCAAATTCGGTAGCAGAGTTTCACGACATGTTTTGCATTTACAGGTAGATTTTGATCGGCAGCAGTCCGTTGCGTTCGTTCCCGGGTCGCAACACGCTGGGATCTAGAAAATAAATCACCGAAACAAAACATGATTCTTGATTGCTTTTAGTTGTGTCATGTACAGTATTTCCATTCCAACCTTCTCACACGTAGAGCCTTCTGGAGGCAGGGATTCGAAGGAGCAGCACTCGAACATTTGTTGAATGCTTTCGTGGGTTTCGTTCCCAGCTCTGTTCCAAGTCTAGATATGAAATACAGTACAGTTGTCCACGTTTCAAACAAGCAGAATGACACGATTTCGCCCTAAAAGGTTACACACCTTGCGCAGAAGTTCAATCTGTTGCTTATTAGTAACAGCGAGGCAAGCAATGGCCACTGAAAATTGCACAACGAACAGCAGGAAGAGAATCACCATGTACTGCTCCCCGCAAAGCCAGTCATTAAGGAAACATTCCATAAAAACCCAGATTTCCAAAAATGTGTTACATCGAATAGGTGACTACGACATGTAAACTTTCAATTGCTTTTTGACTAATTCGTGATATATGCGAAGATTCACAGTTCAAGTAAGAAGAAACACGAAGTTACGCACACGGCTACTGAACTTCAGCGCAATTCATTAATTTGCATCTTTCAGCGCAGTATCAACATGAAGCATCAATTAGAAAAATTTGAACCGGAATCTTCCGGCTAGTGTTGTTCCGAAGCGAGAAGAATTTCCGCGACGATGTAAATTAACAATTTCATGGCTTGAATTAGTAAACCTTGTCCAGATTTTACGACGGGCTTCCCTTCGCCACATACAGTATTTCTTAAATAATCAATCTCCATCCTGAATAGTTGTTCATGATCTTGCATAAAGCAGTTGAAACGATTGAAAAATAGCAGTTACAACCACAGTGCCCAACATTTCCCTTTTGACCATTTGAAAAGGATACAAAGAAGAGAAGAACTTGGTGATGCTTGGCGGCGCCGATGAGGCCCACAATGGAAACCAGGAGCAGAAATACTCCGCAGGCAACGATGCCTCCGATGACGGTTTCACTCGTAACATACGCAGATATTTTTCCAATGGTGGCGGCAAAGATCAAAATGAAGGCGACTAACTGAACGAAATAAAGGAAAGGCGGAGAAATTATAGTAAAGAAAAATCATCCGAAGTCATTCGTACTCACTATGTACAGGATGTTGAGCGCAGTAAGCGCATTTTTGGAACATGTGAACCCACCGCACATGGTTGAAACTACACAGCAGTTGAAGGCGCAATGGATACTAGAACACAAATTACGGATCGATGGGGTGGCACTTTAAATTGATAACGTGAAAAACACAGTAGCTTCGAATTTACAATCACACTCCCATCTCACTGATACATAATTCAACTCGCGTTCGAGCACATGACAACGGGGGTCTAGTGTACTTTAGCGGTGAGGCCCCATCTCGCCGGAGCAGAACTCTTGGTCGTCTAAACTCTTTGCCACTGCGCCCGCATCCCCTCACGCTCTGCAGCCAACACTCTCTCTCCTGTGGTCGCGCATGAGTGACTTCAAGACTTGGGAATAAATCCCTTATGCAGGAAGTGGTGTAGCATGGACTCCATGTGAGAAAAAATTATTTCTCCATATATTTGGGAAATGAAATTATGGGATGTTCCATGGGTCTTTTAGATGTCAGGCATATTTTCTTAAATGTGGTTTGACAATAAGTGCATTTGACAAGTTGTATTCAATTGTGGGTTTGACAAGGGCCTCTTCTGAGGCCTGCTTGACATCAGTTTCATTGAACTTGGGCATTGTAATACTTCAAACAAGAAATTAGCTTCAAAAGGTTCCAACAATTTGGTTTCATGGGTTTAAAATGACCAAGATTGTTCAGCAATAAAAGTATTGTATAGGTCTTGATGACAATTTTTTATTGAGGAGACAAGATAATTTCTTGGACACTGCCTGTATTATTCAGATACAACCATCTAATTTTGATCAGGGCAAGGCTTCAACAAAAATACAATAATTGACCAGTTCATGAAGACAGGAGTTTTTGACACAAGGATCAAATTCTGCTGGAAAAACTATTGTTGCAATACTGTATATTTATGTCAATGCATGAAATATACATTCACATTTAGTGTGTCATGAAAAAGGTAAACATTCAGGGTTTTTACAAAGAATTTTTCAAGCTTTCCAGGGTGGTGAGTTCTTATTAGATAGATTCTACCAGTTTGACAAGAGTCCCCTTCCTGTACAAGAGATCATACTCTAAAAGAGTTTGCTTTCTATACAAGAACAGGACACTTTCTGCATCAGGAGACTAATTTTTAACAAATACAGGCCAGCAGTTTTAAAAGACAGTATATTGGCCTGTTTTCACTGGAATGAGATTTTGACAAGAAGCCAATTCAAACAATGGTAGAATTTTCGACACATGCAATGCCATTTTCATAAGCATAGTCATGTACTATATATATGTGATGCCTTGCCTAGCAAATGCACAGGCAAATAAACAACCTGCCTAACTAACACCAGAAAAATAAATAAATGACTTTCCTATCATACACTGGCCTGCCTTGCAAATTTTTGCTGGCCTGCCCTTAAAAATATATATTAAAAAATAATTAATGCTGTTGTTTCTTCCCCTCAACAAAAATGGTTGTTTCTCAAGCATTTTTGTTGAGGAAAAGTGAGAAGAATGGAAGGAAATTGTATTTGATGATATTGTAGGCATAAAATTGCTTCTTAAATTAGTTGACAGGATGCAGAACTTGGAGGCAAAGGTTCATTTGCCTCATAGATCCTGCACTTCCTTTCAAAAGTTTGTAAAAGTTCATTTTTATGGCTTTCATTTGGCATTGTAACATTTTTATGTCTTTCATATTTCCTGTGATAATAGAATAAATGGACTCCAGAATCCAATGTATGGAGGTTTGAGGGGAAAGTGTGAAAGTCAGATAGGTTTTAATACATGTTGTTTCCAATGAAATTCAGACATAGACTTGAAAATAATAAGGAAATACTCCAGCCAAGGTAACACACACACAGTCCTTCTATTTCACAAGTCACAGACCAGAGGTCAGAGGTTACAACTTCACATGTCCAGAGTTCAGATCAGAATGCCCGTTCCTTCCACACTCCGATTCCTTGTCCTATCACTTCCGCCTCGTCATCATCCTCCACGTGTACCTGGTTCCACCGTGTCTCGCGAACACGTGTTCGTGGCGCCAGCCCATCTGGTGTTCGCGTACCCCCCTGTGCTCGCGCACTTCCAAGGTTTGTATCTCCCTCCCCTAGATGTCGCGTTCAATTGTAAGGGTGCGGCCTTACTCTCCCCCCCCCCAAGAGGTTTCTTGCCTACCCCAGTACATGCATTTTTGATTTGGTTTTCTCGCCGGATTGTGTTGTCCGTAAGCATGGTCCAGTGCTGCTGCCCTTTCCTGAGACATTGGGGCTTCTTTTGGCGGTCGCGCGTACCCATGATCATTGGCCAGTATGACACTGTTTTGTCCTGATGGTAAGTGAATAAGTCCCATCTGTTTTTCAAATCCTGCTCCTGGTTGTCTTGGTAGTCCGTGGAATGGCACCATTTCCCAAGCGTTTGCTCTTCTAACATCCAATCCCACTCCCACGTGATATTCTCCGTTCCCGACATAGGATATGACCATGAATGGGCCCAGGCGTTGTGTCCTGAATCTGCGTCCCGCTGAATGTGTCTGTACTGTTGGTGAACGAGGACAGATTGCAATCATATCACCTGGCGAGAAGTGTTCGAGTTTATGTTTGTTAGCCTGTTGAGTGAACTCCGTCCGGTGTTTCTTGGTGGTTTCATGTATGCGTTCCTGGAAGTTCTGTTGTGCTCCAAATTTCTCGTCTGATTTGAGTCAAAGTGGGACCCCAAACATTGCCTCCGTTGGCGTAACCCCCGTTGCGGAGTGTATCGTAGAGTTGTAGGCCACCACTGAATTGGCCAGGTGCTTTGCCCATTGTGTTTCTTGCCCTATGACCGCTTTTGCCTGTATTTGCATTAGCGTCCTAATTGACCGCTTGCAACACCCGTTCCCTTCGGGGTGTGTTGCCTGTGCGATGTGCTGCTCCGCTCCGATGCCCCTAAGAAAGTGTTTAAAAACATACCCGCGAAAAACCAAGTCGCAATTGGTGTGAACAATGTCGAATGTCCCGAATTGCCTGAAAACTTCTGCAATAAATGGAATTATAGTTTGAGAATTGGCCGACAGAATTGGCTGCGCCATCATATACTTACTAAAGTGGTCTACGGCCACAATAGCATACCTGTATTTCTCTTCGGTTTCTGGTAGCGGTCCATAGAAATCGACCACCAACCTTTCATTTGGGCAATTTGATTCAATTGGTGTCATGAGTGCGCCGACAGTGCTTGTTGGTTGGTTGTATTTAAAACACAGTTCGCACGTGACGATCTGCTGCCATATTTGCTGTCTCATTTTTGTCCATACAAACCTTTCCTTGAGTGTCAAATACACTTTTTCCATCCCGCGTGTCCCATTTCAGCATTATACTCGTCAATAATGCGTGCTCTGTCTTCCTCCGCAGGTGTAATTTGCGCCTCTGCTTGGTTTACCGAGATTTGGGTCAGTGCGTCTGGAGCCTGAAGTAGGTGTCCTGGTCTGTAAATCAGTTCAAAGTCAAAGGTGACTAACTTGGCTTGGAAACTGATGAGCTGTTCTGTTTGAAGTTTGCCCAACAGAGCCTTGTGGTCCGTGTAGACTTTGAACTTTCGATAGACGAGGTGGTGCTTAAACTTTTTTGTGATGCTCCAGACCACTGCCAACAGCTCTCTCTCCATATTTGAATAGCGCGTTTTGGCGTCCTTTAACGTGCGGCTTGCATATTCTATCACGCGTTCTTGACCAGTGTTGTCCGTTTGTACTAGTACCGCACCAAGTGATATCACCAACGCCTTGCAGTGCACCACAATTGGGAGGGCTGGATTGATGCGCTCCAGGCATGCCGTTTCTGCTAAGACACTCTTCAAATGTTCAAACGCTGCTTCTGCTTCCGACGTCCACATTAGTCTCATTGCTGGTTTCAAAGGTATTGTCCAACGTAATGCTTTTTCAGCCTCTGCAAAATTCGTAGGAAGATGCGCTCTTAAATATGTAGCCATACCTAAAAACTGCTGCATTTGTTGTCGAGTTTTGGGTTTCGGGTATTTCCGCACGGCATCCACGTTGCGTTCGGCGGGTCTGCTCCCGGTTTGATCTATTTTGTACCCCAAGAATAGGGTTTTCTGGGCTAAAAAGGTGGATTTTAAAAGGTCAATACACGCGCCGGCCTCCTGTAAAACATGTAAAACAATTTCCAAGTTCTTGCACAAAGTTTCAAAAGAGTCTCCAAAAACAATGACGTCATCAACATACGCCAAGCACCTCTGGAAAAGGTGGGGTCTCAAAATTGTGTTAATAGTTCTTTGAAAAAGTGCTGGGCCGTTTTTAAGCCCGAACGGTAAAACTTTATACTGCACCTGGCCCCTTGGCGTCATGAAGGCTGTTTTGGGGCGATCCTCCTGTGCAATCGGGAGTCCGTGGTACCCTGCATGCAGGTCCAGGGTGCAAAAGAATTTGTTCTTTTGTCCGAGTGCTTCCAGTAGTTCTTAAATAATAGGCATAGGATAGTTATCCGTCATCACCAGTTTGTTTAGCTCCCGGTAATCCTCCACTAGTCATACCATTTCTCAATGGGTGTGGTTGGATCATTGCATTTTTTGTCAACCAGAAAGGCAGGCGCATTGTAGGGGGATGCAGCCTGTTCCAGAATACCCGCTTCAAGGTAAGTATCGATAAGTTCGGCAAATGGCGCATTCCACTCCGCTGAGTGTAGGAACTGCCTGGCTGCTGGTGGTGATGCCTCCTTGGTCGGAATCCGCACCATATAATCTGTAAAAAGACCACGTCTACCTGACCATTGACGGATGACCTGGCTATGCCGGCGTAAGATTCCAGCAACTCGATCGCGTTCCTCTATTGACCCGTCCACAAAAGGTATACCGGTGCCGACAGGCATGCTCAGCTTCATTGGCGGGTGCATAATTTCCTGAAATCCCGTAAAAACCTGTGTGCCGTCAAGTGTCACTGCAATCGGTAACTGCGCTAAAATGGTTTGCCCAAAAATAAAGGACTCCGTCATTTGCGGTAAAACCAAAAACGTGCCATGATATACGTGGAATGAAAAGAAAAAGAAATCTGCACCATCTGGGATACCCAAATCGCGTCCCGCCCCAGAGCAGTTCCCACAGTTGTCGTCACGGACCCGGTTTTCACCCCC